AAGCTCATAGCCAAGGTGCAGAACTCAGAATCCAAATTCACCAAAGTTTGGGAACCCTGGATGGATTACTTAAAGACACTTAACTAAGGTGCCCGACATTCATAGTTAAAATGCCACGCAGAACTTGGAAAAAAACATTTCTTAATTTCTCACACTATTTGTTTTAATTTTATTCATATTAAATTATGTTGCATATATAAATATTTGATGCAAAACAAAAGCCCTATTTCTCCTGAGGAAAATAATATACAATACGTGTGGGTGCACTTAATATGAAAATTATGGTTGAACAGACATATAGCTGGAATTCAAGGTTTTGTTTCATAACTTGGACAATTGCCTCCGTCCTGAAAGGGACACTATAGGCACAGCTTAATGTAGTTGTAATGGGGATAAGGAAGGACCACTTATTTTGTTGTTATGTTATTTTATTTTTTTATTGCAAAATAAAAAGCTGTTTTAAGTTTACCTAACTTTCGGAGTCCTGGTCTATTAATTATCCATAGTGGCAACTACCATATTAAGAAGGGGAAAACCGCCCATCTACTTTGGGGGATGTACCCTTGGAGTGCTTTCTATTTTTCTGTTTTACAATCTTATGAGCGCAATCTATCACAATGTGTTTTTCTTTCATCTAATTGTATTACACTATGTTTTGTTTATCTATTTCTTTTTAGAACATACCAGCTGTTTTCCATTTCTACGGTTTTGTTTAGACCACCATCTAGGAGGTGATCTGTGGGAAGCTGTTTTTATTATAGTTACTATCTTGAAATTTTTTCACATTGTGGTGAAGGTCAAAGATTTTTTTGTTGCATTTTTAATGTAAACACTGCCTGTTCAGAGAAAGGCAGTATTTACATCACTGCCTAATTACATCTCTAGTGCCAGTCATTCAGACGCCCTGCATGGAGAAGCTGAACTCTGCCCATAGGGATGCATTGCTTCAATGAGTCTCTATAAGGAAATGCTGACTGGCAAAGCGCAGCATTTTGCCACTCATGTGCAATAGCCTCCAAATGCTTTCCTATGGGACAGCATTGGATTGACTGAGATCATCAAGATTGATGATCTGTCACTGAGATGGTTCAGGGCCAGCTGTGTGAGACCAGCACTGCCATGGAAAAAACGGTGAGTTTAAACATCGTAAAGAGAGGGAGGCTCTGAACCTAAACTGTTATTTTACAGCTATAGTGTCAGTAATACATGCATGTGCAAGAGTACAGCATTGGGGTTTATGGAGGGTGGATTGACAGTTCTAGACGGTGGTAGTTCCTATGTGTAGAAGTGTCAGGTGCAGGAAATATACAGAGACAAAGTAGTCCCTACTTTGTCTCAGTATATCTATTGACTGTTAAAATTCCAACACAATCAAAATTAATATTTAATAAGTTGAATTAGAACAGCAATTTAGAGGACATGAGTATGGGCCAGATTAAAGGGGCATGAACCCAGATTTTTAATGCAACAATTTCAAAGAATATAGCAAGTCCAGCCCAAAAGGGGTTAATGTTAAAACATAACTTTTAATATATAATTTAAAAGAAAGGTATTATTAAAGGTAATACCTTAGAAAACTATTACAAAGCATTATTAAAAAGCCTTAGGAGTAAGATATCAGAGAAGTCAACCACTGGCTCTAAATGCAGTTTAGTATACCATCCCTAACCAGCAACCAAAACCATTTAGCACATTCAAAACAAAATCCTATGACTACCATATGTCCAAAATAATTGGTGTCTAGGTTTAGCCAAAAATAACGGCAAATTGTGCCTGTTAAGGTTAATTCAAAATAGTTTTAGTGTGTAATGGTGTCAGTAAACTAGATGTCTTGTAACTATATAAATATATCTCCGTATAACTATCTACCCTATGTTCTAATCCATTACACACAGGATGTGAGAAAGTCCCGATGCGCGTTTTGCCACATAACCGGGCTTTTCAAGGGGAAAAGATCAAGTGCTGTCAGAGGCTCTAAATAGAGGAAAGTGTTCCAATACGGGTTTCCACAGCATACAATGGAAACCTACTTCCTCATACTTCGGGTCAGGGTGAATAGCCGTTATAGGGGACTTAATCAGAACTCATCCCCAAGGGGTAGATCGTGTACGTAGTTGCCAAAATCAAAGTGGGAAAAAAGAGAAAATTGTACCTTTAAAGGATCACTATAGTGTCAGGAAAACAAAGCCTTAGGGTCCCCCTCCCGTGGCGCTGAAGGGGTTAAAACCCCTTCAGCCACTTACCTTAATCCAGCGCTGGGCTCCCTCGACCGCAAGTTCCGCGCGCGCATTTAAAGTGTCCATAGGAAAGCATTTCTCAAAGCTTTCCTATGGACGCTCTGCACGATGGAGGCGAAATTCGCCTCCAGCGTCGCAGATGCGCCTCTAGTGGCTGTCTGGAAGACAGCCACTAGAGGCTGTCTGGAAGACAGCCACTAGAGGCTGGATTAACCCCAAATGTAAACATAGCAGTTTCTCTGAAACTGTTATGTTTACATGTGAAGGGTTACAACCTGAGGGACCTGGCACCCAGACCACTTCATTGAGCTGAAGTGGTCTGGGTGACTATAGTGTCCCTTTTAAAATAAAAAAACAAAGAGGACATGCTGGTATAATAAACCTAGGTAGCTATGCAATCTTATCCCAGTTGTCTGAATGTAACATGTCCAGCGAGTCATCATTATTACAAAAGTGTTGCCTCTTCAAACTTCTGCAACACTTTGTATAAAGTATCTATTTAAATTTAGCATAGTAATTTAGTAATAGTAGTGTTAAATATATTCTGTTACTTTTGCGAAGTGCAACATGTCCAAAAGTCAATAGCTGGTAGAGGATGATGTTTTACAATACTGGCTAATAGATATTATTTCTTATATTTAAGCCTGACTGACTGAAAAACTAGAAATGAGGAAACTAGCCCTCTTTGCCTTTCATGAAAAAATAAAAAATGCAAAAGATCTGGGGTTGACAGAAGGGGGCATTGATGGCTATCAGATACTGCTTGATCTCCTATTAGAATATGAACTAACTATACCTGTAACAAAGCACAAAATACCGGATTGGTTTACTCCAAACCTGAATGAGATTACCAGTGTAGATCTATTTGTTAAAATGTGTACAGAAGAGACAAACAGATCTCACTAATCGTTTCTATAGATTCAATCTAAACAAAATGGAACAAAAAGCCCTTACAGAACTACAGAGTCTGGAAAAGATAGTGATCAAATCTTCTGATAAAGGGTGTAACATTGTCTGTCTTAATAAACAATATATTGATATGTGTTTGGCCCACCTTACTGACTCAACTTGTTTTGAATCACTCACAAACTACCCTACATCTGAATATCTTAAAACTTTGAAGACAATAGCTCACACTGCCCTGGATGATAAAATTATTACAAGCGATGAATATAAATGTATCATTCCTTTTGGTAATCTAAAAGTGGCAACTTTTTATTGCCTTCCTAAAATTCATAAGGGTTTGCACAAACCACCTGGCAGACCCATTGTCTCTGGTAATCAGAGTCTAATAGAAAAAGCAAGTAAATTTCTGGACACCTTATTACAAGCGTAGGTACATAATCTGAAATCATATGTACGCGATACAAAACAGATTTTACTCCCATTAGCAAATCTGACAGTACTACCGTAATTGTCAGTCTGAATGTTGTCTCTCTGTATAGTGACATTCCCCATACCATGGGTTTAAAAAGAGTAGCTTACTTCTTACAGAAATCATCTTTTTATAGTACAGAGAGACAATTCATCCTGATACTTCTTGAATTGAACTTCTGTGCTAAACAATAACTCAATAGAACTGAAATTGACTCATGTCATAGATGAATATGAGTTAGTCTTTTTGGATCTTAAAATTAAGATTTTGGAATATAGGGAAGTCATTACATCATTATTCAGAAAGCCCACAGCTACCAACAGCCTGTTACACTGGGATAGCCATCATCCCCGGAATTTAAAAAACTATATTCCGTATGGCCAGTACTTACTAAAAGGAATTGTTCTAGGGAGGAAGACTTTGAGAAAGAGGTCAAAGATTTAAGATCCAGATTCAGGGAATTGGGTTATCCCAATAGAGTTTTGAAAAAGGCATACCAACGAGTGAAAGATTTTGACAGACAGGAGAGCTTACACACACCCTCAAGGAAAACTAAGGTCGACACTACAATTAACAACAAAAATATTAGATTCAACGGCACTTTCGATCGACACTGGGAACCAGCTAAACAAATTTTTAAAAGGAACTGGCCAATTCTCCAACATGATAAAATCTTGAAGAAAGCTATTTTGGCTTTCCCCTCAATGACTTTTAGGAGAGCTAAAAATTTGAAAGATCTCCTGCTACACAGCCATCTCGAACCTTCACAGCCAACATCTACCATGCTACAACCTACAAAGGGCAGGGGCATATTAGCCGCGAGGCAAACAAGGCATTTGCCTTGGGCGGCATTTTTCAGGGGGCGGCAAAAAACGCCGCCCCCCCAAATGCCCAGGGCAAATGCCTAGTTAGCCTTGCGGCTAACTGACATCCCGAGCGGGCGGGCGGGCGGCGCTGGCAGGCGGGCGGCTGGCGAGGGAGCACTTCCCCTGAGCTGACTGCTCAGCTCCCTCGCGCGCCGCAGAGTGAGGCTGGGAGCCGGAAGATGACATCCTCACGCCATGTTCCCGCCAAAACCTGTAGTACCGTCTGCGCCTACTCTCGCGAAACTTGACAGAAAACCTCGCTGTTGGGCGCGAGCTTTCTGATTTTACCTATGAGAGAGCGATCGAGCGCGCACGCGCACGCCTGTTGCCCCGCCCAGGAATAATGCTGTGCAATTAGTACATTTCAAAATAAAAGACTCCTTTTCGTCACCACCCCAGCAAACAGTAGTGACAAACAGCCAGTTACAGAGAATCGTTTCGCGTTTGTCTGTCAATTCAACGGGTCGCGGACTACGAATCCCTGCGTACTCTGTCCATTAGTTTGGCCGACAGAGCATCACGGGAAATGTAGTTTTTTCCGCTGGCTGGTGAATGCGGCGCGAGCTGCCTGATCGTGTGGTCGCGCGCGCTGTGCGGTAGGCGGGGCCTCGCTGAGCACGCAGTTCCCGGAAGAGCTGCTGGGGAATGACAAGGGGGAGGGGAGCTGTACCCGGAGTTTGTTTATTGTTTTCCGATGTGCGGAATCGCTGTGTGATTCGTTCGATGTGAGCCTGGATGGAGTGGATGTACTGGCAGTAAGACAGCCGCCGCTCACACAGAACATGAGTGCGGGGGCCAGCCTGGTGAGTGGAGGCAATAGGAGCTGGAAATAAACACTGCTCCATGTGGAGCCTGCAGGGTGACCGGCCAGCTATGGCAATGCTGCACAAGGAGGGAGAAAGTCATACATATAGTATAAATACACGGCCCCTCTACCCCCCCATTATTGGAGAGGAATGATGGGTTACTCGGGATATTGTCCATTATGGTTGTGTTTAAGATGTTAAGATTGTTTTACTTGTATACCAAGGGTGGACCTCCTTGGGGCTTATTTATCAAATCAGTTAAAGGGAAACTATAGTCACCCAGACCACTTCAGCTCAATGGAGTGGTCTGGGTGCCAGGTCCCCCAGATTTTAACCCTTCAGGTGTAAACATAACTGCCTTGTTTACATAGCAGGGTTAATCCAGCTTTTAGTGGTTGTCTTCCTGACCGCTGCTTGAGTCGTTTCTGTGACGCTGGATGCGAAAATCGCATTCAGTGTGCAGAACGTCCATAGGGAAGCATTGAGAAATGCTTTCCTATGGACTGTTTGAATGCGCACGCGGCTCTTGCCGCGCATATACACTCCACTCAGGACGTCGGAGCGGGAGGAGAAGTTACCAGCAACGAGGGAGCCTGGCGCTGGATTAAAGTAAGTAACTGAAGGGGTTTTAACCATTTCAGTGCTGAGGGAGGGGGACCCTGAGGAGGGGTGGGGGGGACCTAAGTGTTGTATAGTGTCAGGAAAATGAGTTTGGTTTTTCTGACACTAAAGTGATCCTTTAATTGGAATAGAAGAGCCTCGTATGAATAATTATAGAATAGGAATGGCCAGCTACTGCAAGTGTCTGCTGCACATGGTGTAACACAAGTTAAAGGGACACTGCAGGCACCCAGATAATTTTATCTTATTGAAGTGACCTGGATGCATTGTCCCTGTGACCCTGAGCCCTGAAATGTGAAACTGCATTTTTCATATTCCAGGGTGTAGAGACTGTCTCTATCAGACAGCCACTAGAAGCTCTTTCTGCTGTTTCACAGAGTTTGACGTCCCCTACAATATATGGACGTCCAGCATACTCAAAATCCCCGTAAGAATACATTGATTTAATGATTTCCTATGGGAAAGGCCCAATGCGCACAATAGGTTACCTCTTGGTGCTGGAAACTGAGTCAGAGATCCCTCTGCTCTGGAGTCGAGTGAAAGAAAGGGTGAATTTTATTTTGAGTGTCAATCTAGTTTTATTGAGGCATGAAAAATATAAAGCAAGATAGTATAGTTGTGACTGCACCACGTTGAGACAGGTGTAAAACAGTTGATCGAGCATTGGCACAAAGCAAGAGACATACAAGGCTATGGTATGGCGTGTGGCATGTCACACAGTGAGCTAGATGGCCTCATTTTATAATAGTAGAATAATTAACTTTTTCCGTGCAACGGGGTGGCAAAGGAATTCCTTAGTGTTAAGAATATAGCTTTGTATGTTTAATATATTAATCTTTTTATCAAATTTTATAGTATAGATAAACCCAACTCATCCTTACCTTTATTATATGGCCAGATCCTTCAGTACAGGGTCAAAGTTTGTTTATGTTTGCCATCTGCAGCGAACCGTTCGGGACATCACTACTGGTGGGACGTGGTAATTGCACCCTATGTCCCCAATGCTTCACTATAAGAATTGGATTGGTCAGAGATTATCAATCCTGTTGATCTCACAGAACATGGAGCTACTGAGGATGAGAATACTGAAGTTTGATGATTTTTTTTTTTTTAAAGGGACAGGGTAGGCACCCAGACCACTACAGCTCATTGAAGTGGTCTGGGTGCAATGTCCCATGTCCTTTAACCCTGCAGTGGTAATTATTGCAGTTAATTAGAAACTGCAATAATTATCTCTGAGGGTTAACTCCTCCTCCTAGTGGCTGTCTATTAGACAGCCACTAGAAGGACTTCTGGAATTGAAATGGACCATTATCTGACGCTGTACGTCCTCACGCTGTGCATGAGGAACTCCAGCGTCAGATTTTTTTTCCCCATAGGAAAGCATTGAAGGAAGGGGGTTACTGCAGGATTCTACAGTGCTAGTAAAAATGGCTTTATTTTCCTGGAACTTTAGAATCCCTTTAATTAAGTTTTCCAGTAAAAAAATGGGGGCACTGAATCTAAAAAGGGCAAAGACACTCTAAATTTGAAAAACTGAAACCTCCATAATTGCTCTCTTGCAGTCTCTCGATCTCCAGTGTGTCAGTCGGAGGGATTTCCAGCATACACTCCCTCATGTTGGAGCGATTACTGAGGTCTGCATCTCTACTGGAGGTGTATACCTGACACTGTCACAGTAGACTGCCAAATAATGACCCACTCCCCCCTACTCCACCAGTGGAGTTAAAACAGAGCACCACCCACGCATTACATACAACCAGTATACAATACATTGTGTATTCAGACCTCTATTTTTTCACATTTCTTGTTTAACTTAAATATGTTTTTTCCACATTAATCTACATCTACACAAAACAATAATGACGATGCAAAAATGCAGATTTGACCGTAAATTTGTTAAAATAAAACATAAATCACATTAGTATTCCGAACTTTAATTTAGTACTTGTTGAAGAACCGTTGGCTGCAATTACAGCATCTTTTAGAGTATGTTGCCCCAATCTTTCCACACCTGCATTTGTGCTTTCCACACCTGGAGTTTTTGCCATTTGTCTCTCCAGATCAGGATGGAAGGAAATCCGTTTTCAAGGCGCAGCAGAGATATTTGTTAGGGTTCAAGTCTAGGCTTAGGCTGGGGATCTCAAGGACATTCACACAGTTGTCCCGAAGTCACTTTTGCATTGTCTTGTTGGAAGGTGAGTCTTTGTCCCCGCTTGAGGTCTGGAGTGCTCTGGTGCTAGTTTTCATTTGAGGAACACTGTAGGCTCTATTTCCGCTCTTTGAATATATTATAGGGTTTGGCTTTTCTTGGTCCTGCCACCACTAGAAGCATGGCTAAGGCACATATTCTCTCTGATTTATACCTGAATGGACACTGTGCTAGGCTGGAGAGGCCAGCTGACTCTGTCTCCCATTGCTATTCAGGATAAAGCTTCATGATTAGCCTGAATGGCACAAAGGAGATGTATAGCATTAATACATTAAAGGAACACAGACGTGTTAGGAATACAAACCAGTATTCCTAACACTTTAGTGCGCTGTTCCTAGTTGTAGAGGCGTTCCCTCCCCCCTCCTAATCTTTAATGCTGTATTATCCATCTGCGTTGCTTGCCTCTTTCTCTTGCAATGTCATGGAGGAAGCATGGCTTCCTCCACTATGGTCCAATCTAATGCTCGACACAATCCTGCCTTGAAGGACTGATCAGCAGAGTGCTACACTAATGGTTTCTCTCATCTTCTCAGATCTGAGTGACCATGAGGTTTTTTTTTTTTTGTCACATCTCTTTCCAAAGCCCTTCTCCTACCATTGCTCAGTTAGGCTGGGTGTCCAGATGTAGGATCATGGAACCACTGTGCTTGTTGGAAAACTTCAATGAGTGCACCCTCTTAAAAATCCTGCCTTTCAGCTCTGCAGGCAGTTCCTTTGAAGTCATGTCTAGGTTTGTGCTGTTGTATGCATTTACAGCTGTGAGATCTCATATAGCAGGTGTTCTCAACCCAGTACTCAATGACTCCCTGCCAGCCCCCTAAAACACATTAGACACAGCAGGGTAATCCCGAAATACTGGACAGTTCGGGGGTCCTTGAGGACTGGGTTGAGTACCCCTGTTATATAGACAGGTGTGTACTTTTCAAAATATGTCCGGTCAATTGAATTTGCCGCAGGTGGACACCAAAGTGTAGAAACATCTTAAAGTTGATCCAGAGAAATGGGATGCACCTGAGCTAAATTTTAAGTGTCATAGCAAAGAGTCTGAAAACTTATGTGACATTTCTGTTTTTTTTTTTTTTCTTATTAATAAACTTGGAATAGTGTCAAGAATCTGTTTTTTGCTTTGTCATTATGGGTTTTTGAGTGTAGGTAGATGGGGGAAGCTACAAAATATTTTAGCAGAATGCTGCAATATTTAAAATAAAAATGAAGGGGTATGCATACTTTCTGATTGCACTGTACACACAAATTACATACATACAGACAACACACACATGCATTACTCCCAACCTAAACAGACCACACATGCACTCGTTGCACAGTTATGGAGAAGGACATGGGGCTAATACCCCAAATTTTTCACAGATTAAATCCCAGTGGCAAAACTAAGACAAAATAACCAGTTGTGACTAGCTGGGTTGGATAATTTTCTAAATCGGTTATTTGTGCATCAGTTTTTCCATTCAGATTTAATTTGGGAAAATTCAGTTTAGTGAATAAACTGCCAATGTCCATCTCTAAAAAGGTTCCCGGACTATCTAATTTGACATAAAATTTTAGGTTTGATTTCCACATCCAAATGTATACTCCAAAAATAATTTTCAAGTAAGTCTTATGTAGTACTATATATGTTTATTCACAGCCAAATGCTCTATTTAAATTAATAATTTTCAACAAAATTCAACACTGGCGAGTTCCTCTCGTTCAGTTGTTCCAGTTCCTAGACTGCAAGTCGCCTAACATTACTAAGTCCTCCCATGACCTTACACATTCATTAGTGGCATTGATGTTTTTCCTTTTTGGCTCAGTGTGACTTAGATTTGGGTGAAAAGGTAAACCTTTAAGGAATTCTATCAGCCAAGTGGAAGAGAATTGAGCTCATTTAGTGCAAAAAAACTCTTGAATTACAGATCCTCCTGCACTGATACGCATAATTCTATATTATCCCCATGTACTTTGGAGAGAAGCCTGAGTTGCATATTTAGTGACTTTTTAAATTGCTGCTGTAGAAGCATGCTGGTTTGTAGCAAAATAGTAAACTACTAATCCTCTGGCAAGTGGCTGGACACACCTCTTGTGTTTTGTATGTCCAATGAACCTTCCATCTAATATTAAAGGAACACTATAGGGTCAGGAACACAAACATGTATTCCTGACCTTACAGTGCAAAGCCCACCATTTAGTTGGCTTGTCCCCTCCTCCCTCCCCACACTTACAAGTTAATAAACCTCACCTTATTTTCAGCACTGTGCGGGTCTCCGCCCCCTTGGTGACATCGTCAGAATTGCTGGTTTTATAGCCAATCCAATGCTTTCCTATGAGGAAAGCGTTGGATTGACTAAAATCGGCAAGGGGTGGGGCCAAACACTGTTTTGGCGAATCAGCACCACCTCATAGAGATGCATTGAATAAATTCAACTCTATGAGCAAAATTCAGCGTCCCCAGGCAGAGCGTGGAGACACTGAACGGCACTGCTGCCTAATGTGCAGCACTGAGACAGGAAGCACCTCCAGTGTCCATCTGAGGAGTGGCCACGTAGAGGTGTCCTTAGGGGCAATGTAAACACTGCCTTTTGTCTTTAAAAAAAAAAAAAAAAAAAAAAAATGCTTCCGCACAGATGAGTTGAGTTGCTGTACACTATGACATATCATTAAAAACTGTTTGCAGTTGAAGGGAGGACACTGCAGGGAGACTCCAGACACTAACTATTTCAACGAGATAAAGCAGTTACCGTGCCGTCATTGTCTCTTTTTAAGTAATTTTGGTCATAGATGCTGCCTCTGAGAAGCAATACTGTTTACAATCTTAGGAAATACTAGTGTCTGTCAGTCAGCCAGTAGGGGCTTTTGCAAGTTTTAATTATTAAATCTATTTGATGTCCAGTGTCAGCTAGCAGAGTATGCTGACAACAAACCGTGTTCGCAGTGTACCTGCTTGAACAAAAGTCAGCCTGATTGATAACTTCAATGGAGGAGAATTACAGTACATTAAATAAACTGTCCTGGTACTACAATTAAGGTGCATTCATTTTTTATTTTTTTTATCATCAATTGGGAAAACAAAAAACACAAGGGGCCATATTCTGGCCTTGTTAAAGAACCACATCTAATTAATTTTATTTTTATAATTGAAGTGCAGCAACCATCATGTGCCATTTAACTTTTTGAAGACTAAGTGTATTGGTAATTACAGGGATAGTAATTTGAACATTTCTGTGCGCTTTATCTTGATTTATCACAGAATCACTTATGTGAGTTTAACTATGTCTTTTTTTTTTTTCAACAGACCCGCTTTAAAAGATCTTATCGATCAAGATATTGTCCCAATAAGGGGTAGGTTTTTGTGTTTCTTTTTATGTATTTTTCTTGATGCTTTTGCTACCATTACATTTGAGATTTCAGGGGAAGCTTTAGCTTTCAATAACTCTATCCTGCAGCTAATCTTCCTTCCCAAGCATACAATTTATTTTGTGCAATTATACCCTGTAAACTCACTTAATTGGATTTATGTGATTCCAAAGAAGGAAGCATTAAATGAACACTCAAAGCACCACAACCACTGCTGCATTCTGTAGTGGTCATGTTATGGTGGAGCTGTCCTACACAGTAAGCATTCAAAACCATTTTGGTATAAATTAACAACTTACCCAGTGCCCTGCTTCTTGTTTTCTACGAGATTCCAATTATATCTACAGACCTGGGTGCCAGGACCCTCTAGTTTTAACCCTGCAGCTGAAAACATAGCAGTTTCAGAGAAACTGCTATGTTTCACTGAGGGTTAATCCAGCCTCTAGTTGCTGTCTCACTGACAGCCGCTAGAGGCGCTTCCGCAAAAAGATGCTGGACGTCCATAGGAAAGCATTGAGTAATGCTTCATATGGGCTGTTTGAATGTGTGCACGGCTCTTGGTAAAACAAATATAATCTGTAGATATACTTGCAAAACAGAAATCACTTTGACACCTGTAGCCCCGATGTGCACAAATGGGTATACAAATACAGATAAACATTATAAACCGTGAAATAAATCAGGGAAAGCAAGGATAGACAAATACATAGAAACCTATTGAAGCACAAGGTCCAGCTGACCTCCATTCCCCAGAGATCCAGGCGGAGCCTTGCATTTTTTTTTATGTCTCCCTGTGGAGATCCCGCAATTTATTCCTAATTTGAAAGATCTCACACCAGCCTACCTGCGATCAGGGCTACAGGTGTCAAAATGATTTCTGTTTTGCAAGTATATCTACAGATTATATTTGTTTTACCACAATCACTGTTTGGTAATAGATAGTTATGATATGCACCTCAATTTATGTACACAGAGGTATATCCACTCTCTATTAGAGGTTCACAGTGAATGCTATTCTTTTTTTGCGCACCATCACTACTGTAAATTATAATAGGAAAATACCCAACTTTGAAAAGAGGTTTTCAGTTTAACTACCCAATACTTTTTAAAATAAACCACTCAACTGCCTATTCTAAAATAATTGTGTTTTTTAATTTACTGGTAACCTCTATCAAATTACTTGTTTATTCTTTACCAACTAGGTCAGGTGGACTGCCTGATTTGCAACCTGGGCAAAATGTTTTGTCTGCGATAAAAAAATATTTTGACAACCAAGGTAAGCCATAATAATGAGTTGTATTCACTGACATGTTGATTTCTTAAAAAAAAAAAAAAAAGTAATGTGTATATTTTGGGTGCTTAAACATAAATGCATTTTCAATTCTGGTCACTATAACACTGTGTCGGTTCTCCACTAGACCCACATCAAAATCTGTGCAAGATGGAGGACAGTTTTCATCAGACCACATTAGATACACCTAACTCTGTGTTTTGCCACATAGAAAGCGGCAAAAACTGTGTGTGAAATAAATATATATATTTTTAAATTTATTTGCACTCAGTCTTGTTATATTCCTTTATTACTTCATAATGAAGTTAAAACATCCAAATTTCAATCCCCATCAACGTTTGTTAGGATCATCTTCTCCTTTGCAGGTCTGAAAATTAGGTAAATACAACCTCAGGTGAACAACACATGACATATTTATTTAACAAAAATAGTGCCCAAATGGAGAAGCCATGTGTGAAAAATTATGCACACTTACTGTTTCCATAGGAAAAGAGAGGCTACGTAACAGACAGGCCCTTGATTAATTGATCATTAGCAAGTGTGACCACCTCTATAAAAGCAGAGGTTTTAGCAATTTGCTGATCTGGAGCAATCAGGTGTGTGTTAACACAATGTCAAGGAGGAAAGACCTCAGCAATGATCTTAGAGAAGCAATTGTTGCTGCCCATCAGAGTGAGCACTGGAAACAGGCATTTAAAAGGTTTAACTCCTTGCTCACACCATGGAGTTCCAGGTATCTCTGGCTCCCATCTATCAGCTGGGGACATTTTAGTGGACAGATTAGTAGGGAAACCAATTAATGTACAGCTTGTTCAATAAAGTAATGGGTACCAAGGGTATAAAAAACACCTCTACCAAGTGGAATAATGACATAATTAAAGAAATACCCGCACTCCAGCTTTAATAAAATACAAATGTTATTAGATACAGGCAAAATACAATATAGTCTATGTATGCCTATAGTATTGTCATATAGTATTAGTACCAAACTGTATCCGCAAGGAATGCAAAAGCAGAGTAACATACTAAATAAACAAAGAAATGCATATACAAAGCATAGAAAAATACAAAGCAATAAAAAAAATAAGACTATTGTACAATTTTACCTTGCAAATGGACAGGAGTAAACACCCAACGTTTTGGCTACAAAGCCTTTGTCAAGGGTCCCAAAGTCATTTTATGAAAAGAAATCTGATTTAAATAAAAAAATCTGTTAATTTAATATTTTTTTTTCAATGATTTTTATCTACCCTGTTTTTGTCTAGATCGCATTTTTATGTTCCTTTTTTTATGCACACCACGCCTATACTCAAGGGCATCAAATATAAAGAAGGAAGATGCAGAAAAAAGTAGTGTGTAAAGTGATAGTTTGTCCTAGGTACCAGAATATGAATGACTGGCCTTGTCTGTAGCTTTCACACTCACTAGTGAGTAGAGCTGGAAGACCATGGTCCGGAAAAGGTTATAATTGATAAAACCAGTTTGTTCACCATACCAACTTCATTGAAATGATGTTATGGGATCAGGAGGTTAGTGGCACATCCTTACCTCAAGGGGTTAAACTATCCACGGATTGTTTAACTCCAGAGAGTGCAATCCAGCTCCGTTCTTGACTGTTCCTGACATCCGATGTCTCAAATTCGGATAGAGGAAGCAGAGGCGTCAATAATTAACTTTGAGCGGTCAGCTCTTGATCTAAGCCAATCAGTAGCTCCACATTCCTAAATTCTTCTAAATTTGAGACACTGAATGTTGTTTAACAGCCAGAAACAGGCACAGCTTGTAGTCGTTGGGGTTAAACCAGTTGTGAACCGTTTAACCCCTTGAAGTAAGAAAGAGACAGGGATCTTCTGGCACCATAACATCTTCATCTCAATAAATGTTATGATGCCCAGAGTGTTCCTTTAATCATTAAAGGAACACTCTGGGCATCATAACATTTAGTGATAGGTATATTCTACGCTAAAAAGAGTACAAGTCCTAAACAATAAGTAGGGGGAACTCCTGAGATTCCTTACTTTTTTCTATCCATTAAAGCTTAATGGATAGAAAAAGGTAAGGAATCTCAGGAGTTGCCCCACTTATTGTTTAGGACTTGTACTCTTTTTAGCGTAGAACATAAGTATCTTAACACTGTTTAAGGACTCTGGTATGTGTCTGTAGTTCACAGTAGTTAAACACTCTAGCTATATTAGAAAGAGAAAATAGATTGAGGTATCTTCTGATGGTACTTAAATGCCTATGTTTTAATTAGATATTTTCTCCTCTCTCAGGTAGTGATAGTGATTCCCAGTTATCTGATTTATGTAACACTTTATCACCTGCAAGTGAAATATCCAGTGTACATTCTACAGCACTTAAACAACTTAGCAGACCGGTAAGTTAACATTAATTTGTCTAACAAATTTTTGCAGCAATGCAACACTATATATAAAATATATACTATAATAAAACTTGGGAGTCTAGAATAATGAACAGTTACACATATTTATATCCCTTTTTTTTAGTCTTGTGAAATACAGTTTCATTTATTACCTTTTCCTGAATATTTGATTACATTTATACATATATATATATATATATAATTTGTGACTTGTTTACAATCTTTTTACGACTGCTTCATTTTCACTGACAAAGACTGCAGCAACTCATTTGACTCCCTTTGAATTTATAATTAATCTGAACTAATTGCTTCTATGTTATACTGTTGGACGATGATTAAAATGGGTATCTCACAATGATGTACAGATTGCCCAGTGTTAACAGCTGATGATGTATTGGGGGCATACAGTTTTCAAGTAAAATTATCAATGTCTACCTAATGAGAAATTAATTTAACAATGTTTCACGATGCCTACTATACATGCTTGTCAGATTCTGTGTAATGGGCAGAAAGTCAGATACTAGCTCCTTCGACCTACCTACTTCGAGATTGTTGTTGGTGTTCCTTGATGGCAGTGGCCTCGTTCAGCATGATAATGCACCATGCCACACTGCAAAAATGGTTAAGGAATGTTTTGAGGAACATGACAAAGGCGTTTAAGGTTTTTTTGCCTTGGATTCCAAATTCCCCAGATCTCAGCCCAGTTGAGCATCTGTGGCATGTGCTGGAACAACAAATCTGATCCATTGAGGCCCCACCTCACAACTTGCAGCATTTAAAGGATCTGCTGCCAATGTCTTGGTGCCAGATAACACAACATACGTTCAAAAGTCTTGTGGAGTCCATGCCTTGACACATCAGATCTATTTTTGCAGCACGAGGGGGGCCTACATGATATTAGCCACATTTTTTTCATTTTGACAATTTGTGTTTTTGTCATTTTTGAGACATATGGAACTTTGGGGGTACAGAAAGGAAAAAAGGGGGGGAAGGAGGAAAAAAAAAAGTAAGTCATACATTCCACAATATACAGTTTGATTGTCTAACATGCGTGTGATTCGCCACTCGGCGTCTGCTCTTCAAGGGGACATTATAGAGAATAGGTAGGCCTGTGCAGGTGATATTTACCCTTCATCATAAGGGTTACCAATGTGTCTCATTTACCTCGTGCCTATGGTGTATCTGCCTGCTTTGACTCTCTAGCCCATTGTTCCCTTGTGGCCTGCTTCCTTTGTGTGCTTGTGTATTCATTTTGTGATGTCTGACCCCCCTATCTCAACCCCTGGTTCACCTCCTTGAAGTTGTTGCTCTCTTTCTCATCTCACTGTGTGCTCTTTTCTGTTTATGCCCTCCATCTCTCTCCCGCTTGACCTGTGTGTTTCATTGGTCTTATGTGTTTATTTGCCATCATCTCGTACTTCCAGTTTATGGAGATTTGTTTGGTTAGAGCTTCTCTTGTTGGTACCTGAGTCGATTTTCCACGCTCTGGCTAGGAGTGTTACTGCTGAAATCAGCAGGTGGAATATCAGGCATTGGTCAGTGTATTTGGTATCATGAATAATATGCTTTGTTCTATGGTCAATGGCCATGGTCTATCTAGTAGGTCTGTTGCTAAATCCCTCACCATTGTCCAGTAGGTCTTTAGCTGTGCACAGTACCACCACATGTGTTCCATGGACCCCCCGACCTCCCCGCATTTCCAGCACACATTAGGATGGTTAGGATATATCCTGACCAGTTTCTCTGGCATCATGTACCACCTATATTGCAGCTTCCTGATCGTTTCGAGATGTCGTGCATCGTGTATTACCTTTGTGTATTGTGAATGCCCTGCGCCACTGGTCTTTGTCTATGACATACCCCAGTTCTTTGTGCCATGCTGACTGGAATGCCATGTCAGCTTCTGTCTTCTCGTCTATGAGTGCGTTGTATATGGTTGAGTGTTTTTTGGGGAAGCTTGTTTGATAGGCATAATTGTTATATTGTTTGCTCTTGTAGTGCTGACCTACTTTGTAGTTTTACTCCTGTAAGCAGTGATTTTAGTTGCATGTGTTGGAACATAGCTCTGGTGGGGATATCATACCGAGTTTGTAATTCCGGGAAAGGCATCAGCTTATCTGCCTGATATAGATGTTTGATCTTGGTGATTAGCCACATTTTTAATGTTGTAGCTGATCAGTGTAAGGAGGGGATATGACTCACATGTAAAACATTAAACATAGGAATTGAACGGTACTGTATGGAGATTTTAAATATAGTATCAAGGACCTATTCTTCCAGAAAGTTACCCCTATTGTTAGAATGACAAATATCCCAGATGACTGGCTTTAAGCTTAAAATATGTTAAGGAAAGAACCTCTTAGAAGATAGTGTACCAATGTGGGTGAAAATAGCAGCAATGTGTATGTGAAACCATTTGCCATTTGATGCTACTCTTTCCTATGGAATAGTCTATTTTCACACATACTAATTAACTGCTATATAGAGTAATCTATAGTGCACACAGTACAGGTTTAATATTCAAATGGACCCTAACTGAATAACTTGATTCACTGTAAAAAATCAAATACAGGAGCAAGAAGATTGCAGACAGAGAGGGTAAAGTGTTACAATAATATGAGATAGACAGACAGGTTCATGATCACACATCTCGAGTCAATCCATCTGTCTACTGTCCTAGTTAGAAACGGACATCAAATAAAGTCCTATCACTAGAATACTCCCTCCCGCATCCAAGGGGTCCTAGGCACTTAAAAACCCAACTGCAGCCCAATGCACAACACTGCTTAAAAGCTCCTGAATCTATTCCTCATATAACATTTGTTCCCAAAAACTAGGGAAACCTACAAAACACATCAATGCACTGTCGCTACATACAGAGTGCTCCCCTAAAGTGCGTAACTTAGGTGCATAGAAACAAGTGAAAACGGTCAAGTCTGATGCGTGTTTCTCGCAGAGGCATTTTTTTTTTATTATTATTAGTAAGGTGCTAATTTATATATTTTCATATGTAAGATGTCTGTTTATAAATTTACATATTTAACCTTCTTCAAACCTTTAGTCAAAGTATGATTTAAATATGTTTTGCATTATTACATTTCATTCTAATCATTGTATTTTCCTTTAGAGAGTTGTTCAGTCTCTCCAAACTGCTACAGACTTTCAAACATCACAATCTTCAGGTTGGTATTTTGATGTAATGAGTTGATGAATTTATCGGCTTAATTGAAGCACCATGAGCATGGCATCCATATGTATTTCCCTATGAAATATTATTGAGACATCTCTATCAATGATCAGAGGAACATTTCCAGGTGGCTAAAATAGTGTTTAATGAAAACAGTAATTTTTTTAAAAAAAATTTGGGGTTTGAGAACCACTGTAATGCGCATTGTTTATTTATTTTATTTAAGAGACCTCTTTAAGCACCATAACTACTATTTTGCATGTAGTGGTTATGGTGCGATTACTTCTGAACTGGTTCCCACCCCTTGCCTCCTCTACAATAACAAGCTAAAACAAATAGAAATCAATCAAATGCTATAACAAAATACAGTTGAGGTAATAGCGTACACAGAAAAATGCAATATTAAATCTTACAAGGATACTTAAAATCTGCTTTTTTGGCAAATGAATATGGCGCTTTGGTCACACCATATTGCTTTGTCATGCTAAAGCCCACTGTTGGAACAAAATAATTCTGTATTGAGGCACTTTGCCACTGTGGTGGATTTAAATACAGTACAGCACAGCCCAAATCATAGTGAGAGATTGCCCGTTGAGTAGTGGGGCATTTGTGAGTGGTAGCAAAAGACCCCAAGGCCTGAATGCATTTATTTGCTCCAATATGCCCATAAGTTGCTGGTGCTTTCATGTTTTGATGGCACATGTTCACACTTGCCCTGAGCCATATGGAATAGTTAAGTCTCTCAATAGTTGTTTTATGGGCTGCAGGGTCAGCTTCCATACAAGTGGAAAGTAGAATGTGAGATATCCATAAAAATAGAAACGTTGTGTCCTATATCTGGGAGCCTGCTTATCGCTCTCCATTTAAAAACAAAGTCTCTTAGCATCGCTATATGGACTATAAGTTATGTGACAACTCTAAAGTAACAGTCCATAGCCACATTCTTGACTTTAGAAGACCACAGAAGATTGTAAAACGAGGTACCTCTTGGGCTGCAAAATCATCCAGGAAAAACCCTAATTTAGATGTTCCGACATTTACTTTTGTCATTCATGTCGGCCAACTTCCACAACCATATCTGCTTGTTTAAGTGCTCCATTTCGCCTTGTAGGCTTTGGGTTCTTCTCAGACAATTAAAGATGGTAAATAATTACCATACACTGTTTAAAAGAAGCCTATTTATGTGCTAAATGACGTATAACTTATGCCTTTCTCATACATGTTTCTCAATGGGAAGCTAGTCACCTGATGATCTCAGCTTATCACAATGTCCCCATTAAAGCTGAGGTTTGGGGCACATGAAGAGGGACAGAGCAGATGGGCGCCATCTATACAACTTTGAGGTTAAGCCGTTTGTAAATGGTTTAGCCCCTTAAGCTAACACAGAGCCCATATATCGTCGTCATTAAGATGAAGTTATGGTGTCCGGATTGTTTGTTTAAAAATATTCAGTGGTCTGCCATGCTTCATTATGATTTCAACAAAACTGTTACAATTCAGATAGCAGTTGGTCTAACTGTTGGGAGTACAGGCAAATGTCCTCACACAGATTTTATTTCTTCCTTTGCAACACTGACATTGACTTGAATTGTAGTTTTACAACTGAATGAAAGCCCATCCAACATATTTAAGTATAGTCTTACTAAAAATGTTTTGTTGACTGTTGTTTCTTTAGCTAATTTGTTAATCAGATATGCAAATGGAATGAAATGGTTAAATGGATACTAGCTTCTAGTTTGTGTTCTTTAATCTGTTTTAGCCCGTAGCAAGAATACACCAAACCAGAAAATAAAAAGCCCTGCAGCATCAGGACGCTCTATCAGGAAGAGTCTTCCACAACCTAAATATGATGAAAGTACCAGTGATTCTGAAAATGATGAGGAAGAATGCAGCAGTGTTAAAAGTGGAGCAATTTTACTTCCTCCCCTCAATATCACGGTAGAAACACCGGCGCTGGTAGAACATCCTGTTGGATTCCGAGATCAATATTACAGAATCGATCGATCTGCTGTACAAACTCCTGCAAGTCCAACTATTAGGCTTCCTGCAAAAAAGAGGTAATGAAAGTAAAACACTGCAACAGAGTAGCTTGTGGAAATGAAATTTACATACTGTTAAAATGAATATATAACATTTGAACAATTTGTTTTTTCTAAAATGTTTTGGCTGGAATTACAAATCTATGTAGAAATCATTCAAGTTCTTGTTTAGCTGTTAGATATATAATTTCATGTAACAAGTGAACAAGTAAACTTTTAAGTCCAAGTTGCTCAGTTACATGCCACTTAGTTCAAGGCACTGCATCATCAGGGCAATTATGAAAAAGGGCTTATAATTCAGCTTTACCTGCTTCTGTTACCCCTTGGGTGAGTGGGACTCTGCCAACCTATGTGTCTGTCTGGGAGAGGGGAGTCTAGGAGTCTTTTAGAATGGGATTCAATGGTGTGTAATCTGTGAGGCTATGGCCAAGGTTTCTTCATTGTATGGTGCACCAGGAACAGGCATAGTAAAAGCTTATGAGATGGTATGTGACTCCAGGTAGTTTGGACCATATGGGATCAGTGGTTTCAGGTGATAATTGGAGTGGTTGCGCAAATAGTCACTTTTTTCCATATGTGGTGGGGCCGTCCGAATGCAATTAGATTCTGGGTCTTGATATGCTCCATCTTGTCAGATATACTATCCAAGCTCGTAGATCTTGGACTTTACTCCTCTCTGAACTTGTACACTTATTCACATCTTATGCAAACTGACTGAGAAGCAAATTAACAAAATACCTTTGTTCAGACCTGGAGGCAAATTGGCCTTAAGGTTGCAAGCATTCCCTCTCCCCTCCTGATTTTTTTTGTTTATCTCATTTACTTTGTATCCTGCTATCCTCTTTTGTGCTATGGCTATATTAAACTCTGTTTGATGGTGCATGTACCAGATTGTTTGTATGACTTGCCATTAGCTTAAAGTCTTAAATGAACATTACAGACACCATGACCACTTCATCTCAATGGGGTGATTGCAGAGATTGCAGCGTGGTTTTGGCTAAAAGTGTAATATAATAACTTTTTAATCCTTGAGGGGGACACCTAAACTGTGACTAAGACACTATAGCGTTAGGAATACACATTTCTCATTAAAAAAACAACAAAAAATTCCTTCATCTCTACCATAACCATAATCTACCTTTTTAAAATAGGTTAAGTTTCAAAAATGCTGCGACAGTGAAATACGTGGACACCACTCTACCAGAAACTAGAGATAAAAACTCTTTAAATCCTCCAAATAATGGCACGAACAATTCAGCAGTGTCTACAAGGACGCCTGGACTTGGGTATGATTATATCATTGTTTGTGTATTTCCCTTTTTGTATGGTTTAATCTACATTGTCATCATAATATTTGTGTTTCTGTAATAGTCCATTAATGTAGGTTAGAGTGATAAACTGTGATGCTTCATTGTTTTTAACGTACAGATCCAGTAAAAAAAAAATTACAGTTCACTTAACCCATTAAGGACCAAACTTCTGGAATAAAAGGGAATCATGACATGTCACACATGTCATGTGTCCATAAGGGGTTAAAGGAGCACTATAGCATTAGGAATAAATGTTTCTATTCTTATTCTTAACACTATAGTGCTAAACTACCTATTTAGAATGTGGTAAAAAGCATTTTAAATTTCTCACACCTTTGTCTTGCCATTACAGTCCTGCTTGCCTGGCTGAGATCATAAAGATCGATACCCATAGGGAAGCATTTGGAAGCTAAATGGAACGGTGTGTGCCAAAACAAATTCTCTCACTTAGCGTAATTTGTTCAATAAAAGTGGAAGTGCCTTTAGAGGCTGTCATTGTAAAATGGCAATATTTTCAATTGCACGGTTAAGAATACAGACACTCAGATGATTTCAATGAGATTAATGGGTCTAGTTCCATTTAGTATCCTTAGCAACAGCCTGCTCATTGTAAGAGATCCACTTTTCTAAAGGAGCTTGTGTTTATAAAAAAATTACAAGAAAAGAAAAAATCTGCAATGCAAAGCTAGAATTGTTAATCGCAGTATGTGTGTCTAATGTACCATTATTTGACAAGGTATCTTGTGTCTGTTATTGTATATTTCAATCTGTCAATAGCATACATGTAAAGAGTACAGGGTCTATATTTCTCCGTTCCCTCATATAGTATCTTTTTTCATTTTAAGATTGTCAACAATTGTCCCCGGTTACTCAGCTGCTAACGTACAAGTTGAAGAAGATGAGTTTCTGATCAATGTGGAAGACAGCTGTGTTTTGGATACTTGGGTTGGATTAACTGATACAAACCAGAGGAAAGAACAAGAGTCAAAAAGAAAGACACCCAGTGCAAAATTAATATCACAGACATCTACTGGCAAGTCTACAGTGAACAGAAAATATCAAGTACCATTAAAGGCATTATTCAATGATGGCTTACAGCAGGAAAATTCACCACTGAAGTCGGTCAATAAAGAAAATGTTACAACTGAAGATACACCACTGGCTGCCACTAGAGCATATCAACGTGGAAAAGCGGAAGCCACATTAACTCCACAAAAAGTGCAGTCAATTCCAAAAGGCAAGAATTTCAGATGTAGTTTCTGTTATGTATGTAGACACTTAATATCCAACTAAAAAGCTCTATTTTGGTTGAATATATATAATTTTTTATTTTATTCTGTAATAATTTGCAAAAATAACCGTGCTTTGGAAAAAAAAAAAAAACCTAGCAATTTTTTTTTTTATTAGAGTAACCCTTACTGGCATGGTTGCTTAAGTTGCATGCTGAATATAGACGCCAGATATGCAGATTTAAAGGGACACTCTATTTAGTAGCTATACCCCAATTAATACATTTATGCATTTGTTTTATGGGGGTGTATCTTAAAATAACTGTCTTTTGCAAGCCCTCCAACCTTAGCAAGAATAAAACAAGGGGAGATACAGCGCTAACTCCAAAGGTAGCAGAATAGGGTATGTTACTTGGATACCCTAATAATCCAAGAGGAACAAGGAAAAATACAGAAAAAGACTGTGCCAATAAGAAATATTAGATAATCATTTCAACAATTTCAAGAGCACCTTTTGCTCAATGATATCCGCTAAGGTGGCATGATCCTTACCAAGGATATATGTATGTAGATATAGAGGTTCCTTTAGATACATATAATAAAATGCAGGATATAAAAATACATGAACAAGAAACCTAACATTTTGAGGGTAAAAAACAATGTTTATTGTAATATACCACACAAAATAAAAACTGATTTAAAAAAAAATAAAAATAAAAGTCCTATATAATCACGTGTTTCACCCATAGGCTTAAGTGCCGCACTGTGCCTTTAACTCTTTACGTGCAGCATTCAAAATTGAAATTCTGCACATATAGACTCCAAACACTAAGACCACTTCACATAAGTGACTGCTTACTTTGGTGTTTTAAAAAGTATTAAAGCCCCTCATTACGCAGCTATGTGCTGGTTCCCCAGCTGTCTGATCTCCTCCCAATAAACTCTGCTCAGTGATTGTCAATCTGTCTCAATATTCTTTTTTTGTGTGCAAGGTATCATGCTTAAAGAATAAAGGTCCTTCTCAATATATTTTCAACAAAGTTTAAAACAGAATTGTCTGTAATGTTACATACAATAGCATTAAGATGTCTGCGACTCTCCTGATATCCTTCTGGAATATAAATAATCTGTGCCATAATACTGGCCACTTGCAGCCATGTGTTTACAGTCAGCCATGTGTCTTTTCCTTTTTTGTAGTCACACATCATTACATGTCTTTGTTATATTGTCTTTGTTTATGTATTTAATAGCTTTTGTATCAGAGGACTACCTGAATATGGAACAAGTGTCTTTTTGAACTGTGATAAATGTTTGCATATAAGCAATGAGTAAATATACATATGTAAAAAGAAAAAGGAAATGCGTTAACTATATAAGTAATTTTTTTTTTTCTTTCATTATAAATGTTTTGTAGACTTAGGCAGTCTTAATCGGAATACCATTGGGAATACTCCACAAAAATCTGGACAAGTAACTTTGCTTGAGGGCTTCAGAAAAGAATATGCTGGTTCAGCCAACAAAGAGGTTGGAAAATACTTGAACTCCCAAAGCCCACCGGTGACTTCTGAAAAGATTTCTAAATCTTTAGGAAGAGCATCTGGTTCAACAACTAAAAGTAATATAACAAGGTAAGCTATTACTAGACTTTTCTACAAACTTTTCAAAATTCATGTTTTAAAATCAGATCTATTGCTTAAAATGGTCTTGTTTAAGATAACCATATTCATTGATTGATAAAAATAATTAAGGTTTTTCGTTTAGAAAGCCATTCTTATTTTACAGCAGTTTTTGACACCTGCCTAAAATGTTTGCATAGTAGTGTGTGCAAATAAAATATGTATATTTTGTTACGGTTGCCCAAGGCTAGCTGAGGGTTGGACCATAGAAAGGATGCTCCTAGAGCTCACCAAGGGCCATCAGCACCGCATTAGACACCATAACCACCGCAGACCTCACGAACCGCCACAGCTTGGTTGGGGTCTCGCCATCTCCTACCCACCCTGGACCTACGACAAGGCTCCAGGTTTTAGTGGGTGTCCCTTTTTCCCCAGAGAGTGAAGCAGGAACAGGAACAAGATCTTACAAGAGCTCAGTGAAGCTAAGGGAGTATGCAGAGCATAGCAATCCCTGTAGTGATTATAGCTGTCCCCTCCAAACACGTGTCAAGGCTGCGAGTTGGGGTTCAAGTAGAACTGCTTTAATGAGCACAAAGGCATTTCTTATATACAGTTTTCCCCACAAGGGTTACCACCCACGTGGACCTTGTGGAGCACAGGACACAAAGTCACAACAGCCAATCAACACAGTATTGTACAATTAGACACTCCCAGCTAATGTACACAAACCCTCCACCTCTGCCTGTGATACAATTACCAAACACAATGGACTAACTCAATTACCACACCCAAAGGCTTAAGAAAAATATCCAGTTTTACCCAAAGTCCAGAAACACCCCAAAACAACAACATATCCCCACGATACATCCCTGGATAGCCTTGATCTGGGTGAACAACATATCAAAAAATCACCCAGATCAGAGCAGGGGTCCCAAATTCCATGGAAGTCAAATTTGACCGACCGCAAGCATGGCTTTCATGCCCAAAATAGTTCCACAGATTTAGGCTGTGCAGACGGTCTATCTTCTCCTTCAAATAAGGTACAAATTGCACAAACGGATGCTTTTGTGTATACTCTCATTGAAGCAGTCTCGTTCGGTAGTTTGCTCTCCAGAAATAGTGCTCCGTTCATATGGATTTAGCTGAATGCATGGAAGGTAGAAGTCTCAGCGGTGTTCGTGGAAATAGTAGCCGAAAGCAGTTCCAAGCGGTCAACGCCAAAACACAGCTGAGCGCGTTTGGCTAAACGAAATGGCTGCCGTCACGTATTCGTTCATACAAATGCCGGCCACCCAGCCGTTCGTCAATTAAGCTGTGGTTAACCACAGATTCTGGGGTGGTTAATGAGGAGCACACTCCACATGCAGGGGGTCGGCTGTTCGACAGTTTGTTCAGTAAAATCCGTTTACTGAACCACATAGAGTAAAAAGCACGAACAAGCCTTTTTACAGTCTTGTACCCCAGTTTTATCCATGGGCCATAGTCACAGGGTAGGAGGCTGGCAATCAGGCCCCTCCAAAAGCCGGTGGCGAAGGGCAGTTCGTCACATATCTTCCCTTTCGGGGGGATACTAACCAGTTACCTGACCTTCTGTTGGTCAGTGCCCGAGTTAGTAGAGCAACCCACCCACAATAAATAAATAAGAGAAGCCCACCCACAATAAACGGTTACTGCACCTGGTGATTCCTGGGGTACGGTTCTGGCATGTAGGTCCCAGGTTGTTGAGTGGGCCTTGAGCACCTTCGATCTCTCTGGTGCGCCTAAGCATAACGCGGTGGGTACTTGGGGGGGCAGAGACCAGCTGCGCTCTGCCCCGATGCCAGTGCTTCTGCTGGGGTAGCCTGTAGGATGTCAGGCTCTGGACAAGGGGAAAAGGGAGGGCAGAGGCCAACTGCACTCTGCCCAGCTGCCAGCTCGTCTGCTCACCCAGCCACAGCTTGGTTGGGGTCTCGCCGTCTCCTGCCCACCCTGGACCTACGACCAGGTTCCAGTGGGTGTTCCTCTCTTTCCCCAGAGAGTGAAGCAGGAACAGGAACAAGCTCTTAGAGCTCAGTGAAGCTAAGGGATTGCTATGCTCTGCGTACTCCCTTAGCTTCACTGAGCTCTAAGAGCTTGTTCCTGTTCCTGCTTCACTCTCTGGGGAAAGAGAGGAACACCCACTGGAACCTGGAGCCTTGTGGTAGGTCCAGGGTGGGTAGCAGACGGCAAAACCCTAAATTAGCTGTGGCGGTTTGTGGGGTCTGCGGTGGTTATGGTGCCTGGTGCTGTGCTGATGTTCCTTGATGAGCGCTAGGAGCATCCTTTCTACAGTCCAACCCGCAGCCAGCCTGGGGCAACCGTAACACTATAATATTGTTGATAGTAAAAATAAAATATAACTTTTATTCTATATCATATAAAAATATTGACGTTTCAGCCCCAATACATGGGCTTTCATCATGGTTATTGCCATCCTGATGAAAGCCCATGTATTGGGGCTGAAACATCAATATTTTTATATGATATAGAATAAAAGTTATATTTTATTTTTACTATCAACAGGTCCTTGGAGTGCGGTCATTTCCAATCTTTTTTTTTTTTTTTTTGTATCTTGTGCCTGACCAGCACTGGGCAATTACTCTCTAATCCAGGAGTGCAAGCATCTCGGTTTATATATATATTAATGTGATAACAGCTAGCATACTGAAGTCACATCTCGGAATGTGTGCAGAATGATTACATTTTAAAGGGAATCTGCTTTCCCACCGCAATCTCATTAGAGGTGGATGTTACACTTCTGTCCACCAGCAGTCTTCCTCTGTTTTGTGCTGATTTGCCGTACTTGGGGTCACATGCTCATGCAGGGCAAACCTCTATGACCGACGTCTGAAGAAAGTGACAGCACGTCACTCCGTTCCTATAATCCTTGGCTAGCACTAGCAGCTCCAGCCATCAAGTTACCATGGCAACCAAAGCGTATGCATTGTGGTTGCTATGTGAGCAGAGGTACCTCCTATTGGAGTTCTCTTCTGCTCTCTCTGTCTTTTACTTCCTCAGCGTACAGTGTCTGCCGAGGAATTGATGGGAGAAAAACCCATTGTTCAATATATTTTTTTTCTCCAGCTGTATACATAGAATTTTAAGTTCTTTTAAAAGCGCTAAAGTTGATTATGTGATGTACCCCTCTCTCTCTCTCTCTCTCTCTCTCTCTCTCTCTCTCTCTCTCTCTCTCTCTCTCTCTGTTTTGAAAGAATGACTTCCTGCTTAATTATATATTTTTTATTTTTACAGGAAAGCATCAACTAATACTCACTCACCTTATAAAACACAACGACCTGATAAAACTCTGGAGAATGTTCAAGTGTCACCATATGTGAAGACCATACAGACATCTGAAAAACCAAATCATTTAGCAAATTCGAATCTAGTGAAAAGGCCAGTTTCATCTATGTTTTTACAAGCAGCTTCTGTGGCCCATACAGATAGCAGGTTTGTTACTCTTAAGCAATGTGAGCAAAATCAAAGATATTTATAGAGGCAGAAATAGAGACGCAGACAATCCTAAGTGAAAAACCAAAAACAGCACACAATAGTGTAACCCATTAAAAACACTGAGTGCAATATTAAAGTAGCATTGTCACCCAACCCATCCCTTGCAACTAGTATTTCATAAAGATAAAATCTGAAATTCCAAACCGGTCAAAAAGATATACTGTGTCATAGTATATTTCTAATGTCTGACACTTCTAGACACAGGGCAGTTCTAGATACCACCGTCTAGAAGTGTCCGTCTCACAGCCGTCAACAGTGACAGCTGCAGAGATATTATCAATGTTCCTCCGTAGATCTCAATACTGTACTCTTGTGCGTGCATGTGAGTACAGCAGTGCCATTGGTTCCTGGTACAGAAGTGGCAGGACCATGAGAGGATTGGCCGGAAGAAGATGGCGGATCCCGCTCCAGTTGCAATATTTTTATTATGTTAATTTCCCAGACTTTATGCTCATTAACCGCACGTGAAATGTTGGAATAGAAAATAGACTTCCGTTCCTATTCACTGATCTTGCATCTTTAGTGGGTTGGTGAAATGATGCATACAAATTAACTTGTTTGAACAACAAATTAAATGGTATGCATTATTTCACTAAGCCACCAGCAAGACAGCAGTCTATATTGAGATATATATCTTGGCACCCTCCTTGAACAGGCAAAATCAATGAATAAGCGTGTATATTGAATAAGTAAGCATTATTTTCCTCTTTATTTCTTGAACAATGCTCTGTCCTACAAGACTCCCTTCAGGTCTGTTTGTGAGCCTTCCATAGTTATCCTTGAGATTTTTATTTTCCCGATTTGATTATTAGTGTTTTTGTACTGTTAATATTTCCAACAAACGATTCAGGGAGGAAAAAAAAACAACTGAGTACCGAAGATAGTCAGGACTCCAGAAGGGGAGAAAGGGAATCAAACCATTATCATACAGACATGCATAAAAGACGCACTGCATTACAAAAATATCAGTTATTCACTAAAGTGAGAATTCAAACTACATTTCAAATTCAAGATAAACATATCTGAACTATAAAAATTCTGTCAGATATGCTTTAAGTTCGGCTACTTTAACCTTCAATTTGAAAATCATTTTGAACCTGGAACAATCCCACTGTTAGCCTGATCCCCTTGGAGTAATAGTAAAACGGGATTACACCTGACAGTTTCAATAGAGTGAAATGTTCTTATCAATCACTTCTGCCTATCAGTGCTTAGGCCAATTCCCACGCATTATCTTAAGCATTGGAATGGGGCCAGTCTGCAGATGCCTGGGAACCCTCATACAGTCATTAACAATTTGAAAATCCTTTAATACTGAACAATGGGACAATACCAGGGGATTCTAGGTGCCGTAATCACTTTAACTTATTAAAGTGGTCAATTATAGCTCATTTACTTTCCCTTTCATGTGTTAAAAGTACCTGTGGAGTTCTAACCTAATTTAACACTTGAAACCAGTATGCAATTAGTTGCATTACTGCATGGTTATTGTGCTGTGTAAACTTTACAAGTGTAATATTTTTTTTTCTGTTGAACAGTCACTAATATAGTTAGTTTATCCTGAGTGTGTTTGTTTTATTTTTAATTATAAATGTTTGTTTAAGGTTGCCACTTGTTGTTCCTGACCCTCCGGCAGTACCCTTTACTCATGAAGATGTTGAAGATGAAGATGAAGATTTCATGATCAATGAATTAAGTAACTCTACAAAGACTTACATTTCAATCCCTAAATTTGGAAAACCAAGGCAAAGCTCAAAATTAAAGTCTGTGCCTAAAAACACAGAGTTATCCCCTGCTGAAGAACACATTTCTCAAGACAAAAGATGGAATCGTATAAGTCAAGGTGCTGGCAACAGTAGTCAAAGACCAAATATAGAGGATATAAATGTAACCTATTCTTTAGAGGTAGATGGCAAAAGTTTATCTATGTCAGACAAACCTTCCACAAAGGAAGATGATCCAGGTGATATGAATTCTGGTCTTGGATCAGTTGGAAGGGAAGATCATATGCAGTCGGATGATAGTGATCATGAAAATAGCATTTCTGAAAGCGTGCATTCAGGACAGAGAAAATCAGCAAACTTGATTTCTAAGAAAAAGAAAAAAAAAGGCAAGCCAATACAGAACCGTCAGCAGAAAAAGGCTTTGTTAAATAAGAAAGTTTCTCCTACTCTGGATAAATATTGTGACAAGAAAATTCAAAAGAATGGTAATTAATTTATTTTACTTAACATAAGACCAAGTAAAAATATTTCACCTATCAGCATCTCAAACCTTGTATGTTTCCATAAAATTGTGAAGCACTGGCACATATAGTATCTAAAGTGGTACTAATCCATAATAATCCTAAATTATATGGGCATATACACTTCTGATTTCATATACTTTTTATTGACGTTTTTGAGTTTTTACTAAATAAACAATGCAATTTATTTTTAATAAAATCAGTAGAGAGTCAAATGACAGTTATGTGCTTGGTTAGGCCATTATTTCACTAAAACAATGCTGTGGTGGGGAAACTATTCTCTACTAGTATCAGATAAGGAACATATATTCCTAGAGAAGAGGAAGAGAGAGTTGTGAGAATAGATTAGAAAAGAGGGATCTGGATCATGGGTTTACAACTACAACATCCATGATGCTTTGCAATTCTAAACATTGGAAAAACCTTATGGAAATTAGTAGTTCTAGTAATCTATTTTTTTTTTTTTTAAATGCAGACATGGATTGAGGTAGTGTAGAGCTAGAGAACGATGTTTGAGGGGGAGATTTTGAGCGATCTATGTGTACCAATTTTTTATGGAATTGAGTCAATGTGTGTGTCATATTTTTTTATGTTTTTGGCACTGGCATGTACCAGCATATAATGAGTACATATGAGGGTGTTTTTTTGTGTAAGCATTTGTGTAATCAGAGTGATGCAATACACATTAGCGTCTAGTAACATGTGACCTGCGCAGAGGTCTTAAGGGGCAGTTATCGGGGTAACCGTTTTCCCACGCATGGGAAAGAGTGTATACAGTGCAGTTTATATAAAAAACATTTGCAGTAATACATTGTTTCCAACATTTCTCTTTTGCGTCTTTACCCTTCCCCTTGTGTAATGTGACATACCACTTGCTCATGTAATGAAGGGTGTTAACTTGCTGTCATTAGAGTGCGGGTATGAGCGTATTAAGGGAGGTGCTGTATATTCCACACTTCCAGGGTCTTTCAGAGCCTTTGGTATCTTCTGTTTGGTCCCTGGGGCAGTGTGTTTAGTGCTATGGTGGTAGTAGGTGACCAACCCCTCTGCTTGCGTAGAACGTGGTGATACTGTACCAGGGCCCTCCGCTCAGTGGCCCCACATAGGCAGGAGAGTTTTGGTGTATCCGGGTTTGCCCCTGGTCGTGAGGTGGAGTCCTGTTCGGGGTGTAATCCCAGGTTCAGGTCCCCCCCTAGTACCAGGATCCCCTCTGCAAATCTCATCAGGGTATTGAGCGTGGTGCGAATAAATTGATATTGTTTCAAATTTGGAGTATAGATATTGGCAAAGGTATAGGTCTGATCCTGGATAGTGCCCTTTGTGAAGACCTATCTACCCTGGTTGCAGCAGAGGGTGGAGTGGTCAGTGTAGGGGATCCACCTCGAGAACAAGACTCCTACTTCGTGGGTGTGCCGTAGCGGATTATTGCTGAAATATCCCAGTGGATAATTGTGGTCTCACAGTGCTGGTGCTAGGCCTTCTTGGAAATGCGTTTCATGGAGGAAGGCTATTGAGGTTTTATATTGTTTGTCACGCAGACTGGTGCGTATTTTCTGATATTGCGGCCAGGGACATTGTAGGAGTGGAGGGTCAGGTCTTCTTGGGCGTAATGGTCGCCCCCCCCCAAAGCCGGCATTCCCAGGGCGGCCAGCAAGGGTAGAGCCGGCGTGAGGGTGAGAGGGGTGGTGGGGGGGTAGGTGAACTGGACAGGGAAAAAGACTGCGAACATGACAGTTACACTATTGTTTGTTTTCCCCCCCTGTTTTTCTCTTTTTTCCTATTTATGTTCTGAGCTGCAGTATCCATATCTGGAAAGTTATATTGCCTTTATTCCTTTCCTCAATTTATAAAGGAGTAAGTGCTCTATTTTTACTATTAACTTTTTATCACAGAGTGCACAATGGTTGGAAAGTTCACAATATGTGTATAAATATATTGTATAATCTGCACTACTGTAGCACTTTATTTAGTGCATCATATTGCACCTTCACCATTTTGGTTTGCACTTTATGTATATACATGTGTGTGTATATATACATATGTATATGTTTTTAAGTATTTAAAGGCATAGCGCACTTTTCTTCTACCTATCATTACATTATTTTCACTTGAGCTATTTTCACTTGTATTCGTGCTGCTTACCTTTTGAATACTTTGATTTTTAAATGGTTTCTTTCTTTTGTATAATTATGTTCACAGAGCCTTTTTTACTTGATTTATTTTTTTGTAATGTTTTCTCTACTAGCCAAACTGTATATTTTTACACTTTGACATGCTTAAATCAGTTATTGGGTCTGTGTTGGGCTAATCCATCAAGTGGTCCAGTATAGGTTGCTTGACTGTTATTTTTTTTTTTGGCCTCAATTTTTTTAGTGAATACATCTATGTATTGGTACTGCAAAACCACAAGTTTTTTTAATTTTACTTGGTTTAACCAATCTTTGTCATTTGCACCTCACATTTTGGTTATACAGATACTTGCAGAGAACTCCTTAGCTAAGGATGGTCCTAGCTTCTTGGACAAAAATAAAACCGAACAAAATTTTCTAACCTTACAAGTTACACCGACAAATAGAAATATTTTGCTCATTTTTGTTCTTTAGCCTGCTGTAGCAGTGATGATGGCTGGAGTAATGACGCCTGGTTGCCTGGTAATGGGGCAAACTTTTACCTGGGTCCCTACTGAGACCTAATGCTCCCTGGTGGCCCAGTGACGTGCTTCCGCTGTGGTGGGTAACGTTCGTTGACTGAAAGGGTCAGCTGATTGCTCTCAGTCAATGACTGTTATTCTGTGCTATAAAAGTTGCACAGAATAGTTGGAGTTACACATCTGATTCTCCTCTCTTCCTTTCCCACCTTTTAATCAGTCTTTCATCTTTTGGGACAGGTAAGTATCTGAAATATATCTTCTCAACCAAACCTAATGAGTGAACCATTGTATTAAACTTCTAAAGTTTTGCTTAGGTCTTGTTTTTCCTAATCATAAAGTTAATAAATTTATAATCCATGTATTTCTTACTGCTGCTTAAAATTTAAGTAAGATAGCTGTGAGAAATGTAGGAGGTAATGTAAAATACACAAGAGAAGCAACTAAATATTTAATCTGTTTTGTTGTTGCAGATACAGAGATTCCTCAGAAAAGGTCAGAGACTAACACGGAGGCTCTGCATAATAATACAAGTCGTCGCAGTTGTAGAACAAAAAAAGCTTGTGATGATTGGTGGGTTGTTAAATCCCCTGTATCTCTGGAAAACTCTTACCTTCAGCAATCCATTGCCAGTAAGTTACACTCTACAGGAAACAAATCTACCACATTGAGTATCCTTAAAGGGACACTCTCTACCCACCAGAACCACAGCTTAATTTAGCTCTTCTGGTGCAGAGACAGCTGGGTAACACCACTAGGTGGCGTAAAAAAAGCAAAGTCAATCTTCTTTATGTAAGCTTTCAGGGAGGGGGGAAAGAATCGAAATAGTTACAAAACACTGACATTAGAATTTTTTTTTTTTTTTTCTATTAACACACTCCCCACTTACCGACCGGGTTCCGTTCCTACGACCCGGTCGGTTAGTTAGGAGTTAAGGGATTCCCTGCTCCGGTGTGCTTGTCTATGTTCAGGGAAACTTCCCCGAACATAGACGAACGCACAAGAGCAGGGAATCCCTCTAATCTATGCTCGGGGAAATTTCCTCGAACATAGGTTAGAGGGATTCCCTGCTCTCGTGCGTTCGTTTATGTTCGGGAAGTTTCCCGGAATATAGACAAGCACACCAGAGCAGGGAATCCCCACGATGGCTCACACTTACACCTGGTCATAAGTGTGAGACGTCGTAAAACAGGTAGGTCGCTAAATGAGGACCACCTGTATAATGTTAATTGCAATAAACTTAATTTGAGCTGTTGAACCTCCAGCTTATTATGTAGGGATTTGGAATAACATACTTAGGCCTTGTTTTAATACGATTTCTAGATCCGCTTTTCAAATTATTAAATTTTTTTGTATAAACTTTTCAAATAATTTTTTTCAAAATATTAAATCATTTTAAACGTTTAGCCAAAAATATGAAATTTAATCCTTAAGAGCTTTTGCTGTCATAATAATCAATTTTTTTTTATTTAAAGACCCCTAGGTTGTAACTTTGCGTTTAAGCAGGAACTTCTTCACGATTTGTCAAGATTTATTGTCTGCCAATTACTTCCTGTTATATATCTTACCTTATCATTTTTGGCTGCAGAATTAGTTAGCTAACTAAATAAACTCATGTTAACAGCAGGGCTCTATATCACTGGTAATAAGTCACAGTTAAAGGGACACTATAGGCACCCAGACCCTTTAACTGTTATTGTCACGCTCTGCATGATTGTCCCTTACAGTACAGGTGTGGGGCAGAAGGGGCTATAGTGTTAAGAATACAGCTTTGTATTCCTAGCACTATAGTATGCATTGAAAGTGTTGCCCTCTTGTGTTTATTATGCAAGGAACCGTTAAATGTGTGTTGTGTTTTTTTTTTTTTTTTTAAATAATTAAACTTAGACTCCAGTGCAAAATACAGGGAAGAAGTTTTAAATCTCATAAAAAAAACTGCCCCAGTATTTTATGCTAATGAAGAAACAGACAATTTATGCATATACGTAACATAATAAAATCAAACAAACATAATGATCCAAATAAATCTCACAGTATAAATAAGTCTCAGAGGAGATGGAACTAGTATGCATAATACTGCATACTAGTGCATAATATATAGCTTGTTTGCTTCATCTAAGTGTGTGGTTGGAGATATTCTGGAGAGTTTTACAGAATCTTCAACTGTCTAAGAGTTGTGCTAAGAGTTTTCTTTTCTACTGTTATAGGTAAGATTCATATGTAGGAAAAGGTTACTGATTGCACAAGGTTTGATTTCCTGTTGGTAATTATAAGGCATTTGATTAGTTAGCTACTTGCTATTGATTGCTGTTTAATTAGCTATTGTTTGCAAATAAGCAGAGGCCTATCCAGGTGTTAAACATTCCTAGTGGGTGGTGATTTTAGGAGTTTTATATAAGGGTTGTTGTCATTAGCTTGGCTGCTTCATCTAAGTGTTGCTTCTAAGTGTGTGGTTGGAGATATTCTGGAGAGTTTTACAGAAGCTTCAACTGTCTAAGAGTTGTGCTAAGAGTTTTCTTTTCTACTGTTTCAGGTAAGATTCATCTGTAGGAAAAGGTTACTGTGTGCACAAGGTTTGAATTCCTGTTGGTAATTATAAGGCATTTGATTAGTTAGTTACTTGCTATTGATTGCTGTTTAAATTAGCTGTTGTTTGCAAATAAGCAGAGGCCTACCCGGGTGTTAAACATTCCTAGTGGGTGGTGATTTTAGGAGTTATATAAGGGTTGTTGTCATTAGCTTGGCTAATATAGCTTGGTTGCTTCATCTAAGTGCTGCTTCTAAGTGTGTGGTTGGAGATATTCTGGAGAGTGCTGCTTCTAAGTGTGTGGTTGGAGATATTCTGGAGAGTGCTGCTTCTAAGTGTGTGGTTGGAGATATTCTGGAGAGTGCTGCTTCTAAGTGTGTGGTTGGAGATATTCTGGAGAGTGCTGCTTCTAAGTGTGTGGTTGGAGATATTCTGGAGAGTGCTGCTTCTAAGTGTGTGGTTGGAGATATTCTGGAGATAAACTGGAGGTAATCTGAGGTATTCAGGAGGATAAATAAAAAGTTAAGACTCGTTTGATTTAAATTATTCACCTCATTGGAATGGCAGACTTAGCTCAGTGTAATAGTTGCTATGCATTTGTTTCATGTTCCACTTTTTGGAGGTTTGGTTGTTGTCTAATCTGTAGACAGTTCTCTATCTTGCAGCAGGAGATTGTATTTTTGAATTCTGAGATATGTAAATTATCTGGTGAACAAACTCAGACTGGAACTGCTGCAAAGCCACTGCCGCAGAGACATACTAGGAATGGCAGATGGATTACTGTAGGATCTGGTAGACTTAGCGTTGTTGATAAAAGGCATATTGCACAGTCTGTTGCTCTACCTAATTCATTTTCTGCACTTTCAGAGTGTAATGGTGTTGTGGAGAGAGGCACTGAGGGTAGTGGTGTTGTGGAGAGAGGCACTGAGGGTAGTGGTGTTGTGGAGAGAGGCCCTGAGGCTAGTGGTGTGCAGAGAGGCCCTGAGGCTAGTGGTGTTGTGCAGAGAGGCCCTGAGGCTAGTGGTGTTGTGCAGAGAGGCCCTGAGGCTAGTGGTGGAGAGAGGCCCTGAGGCTAGTGGTGTGCAGAGAGGCCCTGAGGCTAGTGGTGTTGTGCAGAGAGGCCCTGAGGCTAGTGGTGTTGTGCAGAGAGGCCCTGAGGCTAGTGGTGTTGTGCAGAGAGGCCCTGAGGCTAGTGGTGTTGTGCAGAGAGGCCCTGAGGCTAGTGGTGTTGTGCAGAGAGGCCCTGAGGCTAGTGGTGTTGTGCAGAGAGGCCCTGAGGCTAGTGGTGTTGTGCAGAGAGGCCCTGAGGCTAGTGGTGTTGTGCAGAGAGGCCCTGAGGCTAGTGGTGTTGTGCAGAGAGGCCCTGAGGCTGGTGGTGGTGTGGAGACAGGTTCAGGCACTGAGGTTAGTGGTGTTGTGGAGACTATGGTGAGGCCTAATAGAAAGCAGTTGTTGTTGGGGGATTCCATCATAAGAGGTATGGAGATGAACAATGGTGGTCTTGTGAGGTGTCTTCCCGGATCTACTGCTCACAGAGACAGGAGCCGTATCTGTAATATTGTTAAGCGAGCAAAGCAGGAAGGGGAATTGGATGTACTTGTCCATCTAGGGACAAATGACTTGGCTTGCAATGAGGTTTCAGAGGTTAAGGATGTTTTCAGTGTTTTTGCCAAAGATATATATACGGCAGGTTGCTTCTACACTGTCATTCTCTGAAGTTCTACCTGTGCGTAACACTCAGAACGACAGGCGGATGCTTATTAGGGACTTTAATTTGTGGCTTGGTGAATGGTGTCGGGAGCAAGGATTTGGCTTTATTTCTCATGGTAGCTCTGTTTGGAATGGAAATAAACTGTACAAAAAAGATGGTTTGCATCTTTCTCAAAAGGGAACAAATGTTATCAGTGAGCAGTTCAGAGGTTTTGCTAGGATGTATTTAAACTACGGGGGGGGTGCAAAAGGGTGATAAAACATCAATCCAATTGTCCCCCAAAACAAAGACAGATGGTGCCTGCAGCAAGTGTGTTAAAAAATGATAAGCTTAGAGTCATGTCTACAAATGCTCGCAGTTTAGGGAATATGAACATGTGGCAATAATGGCAACTGATAGTGTAGATTTAGTCGCTGTTACTGAGACATGGTATCATGAGAAAAATGACTGGGACAAAGCAATACCAGGGTACTCTTTATATAGAAAAGACAGGGAAGGCAAGAAAGGGGGAGGAGTTGCCCTGTATGTGAAGAATAGCATAAAATCTAGCCTAACAAGTTAGTGAGGCTACATAGTATGTTTGGGTTACGTTAGAATTTGGTAATCACACAGTAACTTGTGTAGGTGTGATTTATAGGCCCCCAGGACAAATTGAAGAGTTAGATTATCTACTAGTTGAGGAAATAGCTAAAATGACAATGAAGGGGGAAGTTATCATCATGGGTGACTTTAATCTTCCTGTTGTGAATTTTAAAACAAAAATAGATGCTTGTGCCAGGAGCACACATATTCTAAACTCCCTACTGGGATTGTGTCTAAAACAAGTTGTTGAGGAGCCAACTCGTAAAGAGGCCATACTAGATTTAGTGTTAACAAATGGAGATTTGGTATCAGATATTACTGTAGATGAAAGTTTAGGATCCAGTGATCATCAGTCAGTGTGGTTTAATATAAGAACAGTGACTGAGTCACACCACACAAAAACAAAAGTTTTAGACTTTAGAAAAACAGACTTTTCTAAAATTAGAATATGGGTAGAGGAGTCATTATCAGACTGGAGCAATTTAAATGGAGTCCAAGAAAAATGGGATTATTTAAAAGTTGCACTATTGAAGGCAACAGAAAATTGCATTAGGCTTGTCAGTAAAAGCAAAAAATTCAAGAAACCACTGTGGTACTCCGCAGATGTGGCCAAAATAGTTAAAAACAAAAAGTTAGCATTTAGGAATTATAAAAAAACCCAGAGTGAGGAAGACAAAATGATCTATAAGATTAGGCAGAAAGAGGCTAAGCAAGTTATAAGAGCTTCCAAATCACACACAGAAGAGAAAATAGCACAGTCAGTAAAAAAGGGGGATAAAACATTTTTTAGATACATAAATGAGAAAAGAAAAGTAAAACAAGGATTAGTTAGATTAAAAACAAAAGAAGGAAGGTATGTAGAAGAGGATAAAGGTCTAGCTGACTGCCTCAATTAATATTTTTGTTCAGTATTTACAGATGAAAATGAAGGAAAGGGACCTCAGTTAAGAAAAAGGATAAATTAGTCATTTATTACACGTGAGTTTACAGAGGAAGAGGTTCTATTTCAACTGTCAAAAGTAAAGACAAATAAGTCAATGGGACCTGATGGAATACACCCAAAGCTATTAAAAGAGCTTAGTGGTGTACTAGCAAAACCATTAACAGATTTATTTAACCAGTCATTGTTAACAGGAGTAGTCCCAGAAGATTGGAAGTTAGCGAATGTTGTGCCCATTCACAAGAAAAGTATTAGGGAGGAGTCGGGCAACTATAGGCCAGTAAGCCTTACTTCAGTAGTGGGGAAAGTGATAGAAACCATGTTAAAGGATAGGATTGATGAACATCTAAAAACACATGGATTTCAAGATCAGAGACAACATGGGTTTACTTCAGGGAGATCATGCCAAACTAATCTTATTGATTTTTTTGATTGGGCAACTAAAATTATAGATCAGGGTGGTGCAGTAGACATTGCGTACCTAGATTTCAGTAAGGCGTTTGACACTGTTGCACATAGAAGGCTTATCAATAAACTGCAATCTTTAAGTTTGGATTCCAATATTGTTGAATGGGTAAGGCAGTGGCTGAGTGACAGGCAACAGAGGGTTGTAGTCAATGACGTCTATTCAGAGCTTGGGCTTGTCACCAGTGGGGTACCTCATGGATCTGTACTTGTTTTGAATATTTTTATTTTTAAGCATATTAGGAATTTAGGCATCAAACTGATTTATAACAAGGCAATTGATTGCCCACGCAGGGGCTGCAACATTAATATAACACAGTATTCCTTCGGTTGCCTGCGCAAAGCGGGTTTGTTTTAAATGCTTCTTTTGTAATTGGCATTGCAGATACAAGCAGGTAGTCATTCATGTTTCATGGGAAGCTCATGGTTGCCTGCGCAGAGGCGTTACAGATAAAACATGCAGGTACATTAGGAACTAGGGTTTGCAACAGATACTAGCTCTAGGAATCCACATGACTTCGTTCAGGTTGTGGGCTTAGATTATTTTTACATTTGTCTTGTTGTTTGTCATCTAGCTGTGTGTTGCTAAGGGTAGACAGGTAAACGGAGTCGTTACCAGAGAGGTATGGTGGTGATGGTGTGAAGGTCTAAGGCTAGTCTTGGGGCGTGATTTCCCATTTCCCTTGGGGGCTTTGGTGGGAATTCAGCTTGTGTGTCTGTTGGATCTGTACTTGGACCCATTCTCTTTAATGTTTTTATTAGTGATATTGCAGAAGGCTTTGATGGTAAGGCATGTCTTTTTGCTGATGATACTAAGATATGTAACAGGGTTGATGTTCCAGGAGGGATAAGCCAAATGGCAAATGATTTAGGTAAACTAGAAAAATGTTGTGGCAACTGACATTTAATGTGGATAAGTGCAAGATAATGCATCTTGGACGTAAAAACCCAAGGGCAGAGTACAGAATATTTGATAGAGTTCTAACCTCAACATATGAGGAAAGGGATTTAGAGGTGATTATTTCTGATGATTTAAAGGTAGGCAGACAATGTAATAGAGCAGCAGGAAATGCTAGCAGAATGCTTAGTTGTATAGGGAGAGGTATTAGCAGTAGAAAGAGGGAAGTGCTCATGCCATTGTACAGAACACTGGTGAGACCTCACTTGGAGTATTGTATGCAGTACTGGAGACCGTATCTTCAGAAAGATATTGATACTTTAAAGAGAGTTCAGAGAAGGGCTACTAAACTGGTTCATGGATTGCGGGATAAAACTTACCAGGAAAGGTTAAAGGATCTTAACATGTATAGCTTGGAGGAAAGACGAGACAGGGGATATGATAGAAACATTTAAATATATAAAGGGAATCAACACAGTAAAGGAGGAGACTATATTTAAAAGAAGAAAAACCACCACAACAAGAGGACATAGTCTTAAATTAGAGGGACAAAGGTTTAAAAATATCAGGAAGTATTACTTTACTGAGAGGGTAGTGGATGCATGGAATAGCCTTCCAGCTGAAGTGGTAGAGGTTAACACAGTAAAGGAGTTTAAGCATGCATGGGATAGACCTATGGCTATCCTAGCTATAAGATAAGGCCAGGGACTAATTAAAGTATTTAGAAAATTGGGCAGACTAGATGGGTCGAATGGTTCTTATCTGCCGTCACATTCTATGTTTCTATGTTATTGTCAGGCAGGGAAATCATCCAGACTTCCAGCAACTGCTTTCAACATGATTTTTCCAAGTGTACCAACCCTTACCAGAGCTAATGAAAAGCGTTTGCTATTTCTTTTTAGATTTCTATTCACCAAGCTAGTTTTGCAATTGAAGATCAGGTTCTGCTGGGGACCAAGCCTCCTTTCATACTTCCTGAGCAGGATCTGGTTGCTGCAGAGTTACAGAAGTTAGGTCTAAATCCTGCCATGCATTCATGAAATATGCACAGAATTGCCATTAGCCAGCCTTTTACTCCTGTTCCAAGTTAGTTAAAGAAGGCTGCCAGAGGTGGCGTTGCATACCAAGGAGCAACATAAAATATTTAAGTACAATATGTGCAGGATGTGGGACCAAACCTTCTTATATACAGACAAGGAGATGTGTACCATAGTGGTCTGCCCGTCCATAAGGCAAGTTTCATTTACCATTTAGAATCAAAAGCCATATGAGCTACTTGGGTGATTGTATTATATAGCTTTTGGAGCTTGGTAGAGAAACTATCCAAAGGTATCGACAATTAGGACCAAGAGTCCAAATGAAAAACTTGAATGATGAGGTCCTGAATGGTGCGCAAGAACAAAACCGCCTTAGGACAGGATGACCTTTCATACCACTAAATCTCCAACAGAAGTCTGGGTTTGTCTTACCCATTCAAAATATCCAGCATATGAATATTTTGACTGATGAGAGCAGACATCCTCTCGATTATTTGTATTAATCTATGAAAGGTACCATGATCATTCAGGTCTTTCTATAGACCCCATTTTGTTCTCTTGTGCATTGGTAAGGTAAATATGGATAATGGCTCATGGAAAGTGACACTGTTAGCAGTTAAATGAAAAATTCAGAAGCAAAGAGTTACTTCAAGCACCATGACCGCTTTACTGGTTTTAAGTGGTTATGGTGCAAGGACACTAGAAGTGCATCAAAATCCTGCACATACTTAAATATTTTATGTTGCTCCTGGATATGTAACACCACCTTTGGCAGCCTTTTTTAACTAACGTGGACTAGGAATTAAAGGAACACTATAGTCACTTTAGCTTAATGAAGCAGTTTTTGTGTGTAGTTCATGCTTCTCAGGTTTTACTGCTCAATTAAATAAAAACAGGTGAGTAAGCGCTAAATAACACAAATGAGCAGCAACCCTAAAAAGGGAATCCCTCAGGAACCCTTAAGGATAAGACACAAAAAATATAGAGTAAGGGCTGCGCTTAAAAAATAAATATATAAAAGTCCAGATGAAATAAATAAATAAATAGATAAATGAATAAATAAAGTAGAAGAGGTCTTATCTTGCAGTGTCCGTAGTGCTTAGTCAAAGGTAATAATCTTGTTTTCTGTCTTGCTTTCTGTCTTTCTTGTGGATCGTCTCTTATGTAAGATATAAAAACAAATACAAAACCACAATGGTGCAGTATATCTATATGGGTAAGGAATAAAATATAAAGGCTTGATTGCAAACTCACATATCCAAGAGCTAGGACCTGCTCTGGTATAAAAGGCGTACAGCGGTTTAGATCCCCGCTTATGGGATATAGGATGGTTATCCTCCACGTGTTTCCTCCTTCCGTGGTTTAAAAGATGCTCAAATAAAAAGAGACAGCCAATAGTGTTCTCTGCGTAAAATTAAACTCCAATATGAAATAGAATAAAAAAATGGATACTCACAAGACAGGAGCAGGTCAACTGCTCCTGATATTTCGCACTGGTGGAATAATCCCCACCTAGGATTGCTTGGAGTCCAGCGAATGATGCCAGGTAGTAATAATAATTATATGTGTATTAAAAGATAAGTAATACAATAAAAGATTATAAAATATACTTTAATTGTAACATTACACAATATAAAAAACCATAAACGCGTTTCGCCAATCGGCGTTATCAATATGGGTAAAGGACCTGATACCTGGCAGAAGAACATTTAAATAGCATACTCAATTGACTCAAAAATTGGCGCCAAAATTTGGACAGCCAATCAGATTGCAGTAACAAATTACATACAGTATAACACTAGTAAAACATAAACAATAGTATGTATTAAGGTAAAGCTAAAATAGACATTATAAGTTATATAATTAGACTTTAAAAACGATCAGTGGTTATTTAAAAGAAGAAAAAAGATTCTAAAGTGCGCGGTCACGTGACCGGCATCACAGCCGCAAGGGGTTATGGGGTATGTAGTTTGACGCCGGCCGGCACTGCGCAGCCGCCGGCGTCATGAGAGGGAACTGGTGGCTGGCGTCTGTTCGCATAACAGATGCGTCCAGACGCCAGTAGGAGGAGCGAGGGGCGGATGTACTGGTGACGGCGGCACGCACAAGACAGTGGCCGCCGTCATCAGAAAGAAAATAGACGACGGCTCACACAACGCTGTGGCCGTCGTCATGGAGATGCTACATAGCTATATAAGGCTGAATGGAAAGAAGGGGGAAAAGAAAAGAAACAAATAATATTGAAATCATATATAAGTGGAATAAAATAAAATAAAATAAATGGAGCTGACAAATAAAAGGAAATATGGAATAAAAATAAAAATAAATATAAATATAAAATAAAAACATGATGGGAAGAGAAGCAGGCAGGTAAAGGGCAGCATCATATCTGCTCTACTGGATAATAAGGGTGGGCATAGTGAAATAATATAAAAACATATGGTTATAAAAAGAATGATTATAAAAAATGGATTATAAAAAATTAAATAAATCAAAATCAGCATTCAGACCATAAGGTGCAAGGGTTTGGAGTGTATAAACCCACTCCATCTCTTTTTTGCCTAGAATATTTTTAATATTTCCACCCCTCCATGGGACCATATATTTACCTATAGCAATGCATTTAAGCATTTTAGGATCTTTATTATGTATAATAAAATGTTTGGATACTGAGTGATTTAAGTATCCATTCTTAATATTTCTGCAGTGTTCGCTCAGACGTATTTTTAGACACCTTGTGGTCATTCCAACATATTGGAGGCCGCAAGGGCATTCAAGCAGATATATTACATTTTTCGTGGAGCAGTTAATAAAATCATTTATTTTGTAAACCTTGTTTGTCCTTTTTGATGTAAATTCCGTTACTTTGGATGGGACATCAGGATTGGTGGATTTACACACAATGCACATTTTACACTTACAGAAACCTTTTATTTGTGGAAAAAAGGATATAGGGGGATTTTTTTTATGATTTTTTTCTCTTGTAAAATTGTTGGTCAGAATAGATTTAAAATTTTGGGCACCCCTAAATATAATATTGGGGCGTTCAGGTATAATTTTGTTTAGTATTTCGTCTTGTTTAAGAAGGTGCCAATGTTTTTTAATGATTTTTTTAACATAATTACTTTTATTATTAAAGTTAAAAATAATTGGTAAAGGCATTTCTGTGTCCGTAGTTTTGGGTTTGTATTTTAGGAGTTCATTCCTATCTTTCCCTTGGATCTCCTTAATTGTAGTTTCTAAATCTGATTTTGGATAGTTTTTTTCAACAAATTTGTCTTTTAAAAGATTCGCTTGTATCTCAAAGTCTTTAAGTTCTGAACAATTTCTTCTCAGTCTGAGAATTTGACTTTTAGGGGCGCTGTCTAACCATGGTTGGTAATGACAGCTATTTTTGTCAATAGCAGTATTAACACAAACCTTTTTAAAGAAAGTTTTTGTATGTACCATACCATTTTTTATAAAAATATCGAGGTCTAAAAAATTGATTTGTTCTCTACTGTATTCGCAGGTGAGTATTATACCTCTATTATTCAGGTTGAGGTTAGTAATAAAAGAATTTAGAGCTTCTTCAGTACCATTCCAAATAAAAAACAGATCATCAATATATCTGAAAAAGGAAACCAGGTTCGCTCTCCACGCGTGGTTACCCAAAATGGCTTGTGACTCCCAGTCAGCCATAAACAAATTTGCATAGCTGGGAGCAAACCTGGTCCCCATGGCAGTACCTCTTTTTTGCAGATAAAAGGAGTCTAAAAACCAAAAATAGTTATTGTTTAATCAATAAAAGCTTCAAAAGGTTTAAAAGTATTAGTAGGGGCAAACTTAAGACCTTTAGTTAAAACCGCTAGGTGTGTACTGTTTAAAATCTTTTGTGACAGATTAAAAATGCCTCCGTTAGTTACATTAAGAGAAGGTGCTATCTTTCTAGTCTTTCTCTTTTGTTCGCGTCTACCACTTCTTCATACCTCATGATATAGGCTGTCAAGCTGTAAAAGATATTTTAACCAAAGAAGGAAAAATTGCCAACCAACAAATAGAGTTCATTTTAGAAGGTATCAATATTATTTTAAACAATAACTATTTTTAGTTTTTAGACTCCTTTTATCTGCAAAAAAGAGGTACTGCCATGGGGACCAGGTTTGCTCCCAGCTATGCAAATTTGTTTATGGCCGACTGGGAGTCACAAGCCATTTTTGGTAACCATGCGTGGAGAACAAACCTGGTTTCCTTCTTCAGATATATTGACGATCTGTTTTTTATTTGGAATGGTACCGAAGAAGCTCTAAATTCTTTTATCACTAACCTCAACCTGAATAATAGAGGTATAATACTCACCTGCGAATACAGTAGAGAACAAATCAATTTTTTAGACCTCGATATTTTTATAAAAAATGGTATGGTACATACAAAAACTTTCTTTAAAAAGGTTTGTGTTAATACTGCTATTGACAAAAATAGCTGTCATTACCAACCATGGTTAGACAGCGCCCCTAAAAGCCAAATTCTTAGACTGAGAAGAAACTGTTCAGAACTTAAAGACTTTGAGATACAAGCGAATCTTTTAAAAGATAAATTTGTTGAAAAAAACTATCCAAAATCAGAATTAGAAACTACAATTAAGGAGATCCAAGGGAAAGATAGGAATGAACTCCTAAAATACAGACCCAAAACTACTGACACAGAAATGCCCTTACCAATTATTTTTAATTTTAATAATAAAAGTAATTATGTCAAAAAAATCATTAAAAAACATTGGCACCTTCTTAAACAAGACGAAATACTAAACAAAATTATACCTGAACGCCCCAATATTATATTTAGGGGTGCCCAAAATTTTAAATCTATTCTGACCAACAATTTTACAAGAGAAAAAAATCATAAAAAAAATCCCCCTATATCCTTTTTTCCACAAATAAAAGGTTTCTGTAAGTGTAAAATGTGCATTGTGTGTAAATCCACCAATCCTGATGTCCCATCCAAAGTAACGGAATTTACATCAAAAAGGACAAACAAGGTTTACAAAATAAATGATTTTATTAACTGCTCCACGAAAAATGTAATATATCTGCTTGAATGCCCTTGCGGCCTCCAATATGTTGGAATGACCACAAGGTGTCTAAAAATACGTCTGAGTGAACACTGCAGAAATATTAAGAATGGATACTTAAATCACTCAGTATCCAAACATTTTATTATACATAATAAAGATCCTAAAATGCTTAAATGCATTGCTATAGGTAAATATATGGTCCCATGGAGGGGTGGAAATATTAAAAATATTCTAGGCAAAAAAGAGATGGAGTGGGTTTATACACTCCAAACCCTTGCACCTTATGGTCTGAATGCTGATTTTGATTTATTTAATTTTTTATAATCCATTTTTTATAATCATTCTTTTTATAACCATATGTTTTTATATTATTTCACTATGCCCACCCTTATTATCCAGTAGAGCAGATATGATGCTGCCCTTTACCTGCCTGCTTCTCTTCCCATCATGTTTTTATTTTATATTTATATTTATTTTTATTTTTATTCCATATTTCCTTTTATTTGTCAGCTCCATTTATTTTATTTTATTTTATTCCACTTATATATGATTTCAATATTATTTGTTTCTTTTCTTTTCCCCCTTCTTTCCATTCAGCCTTATATAGCTATGTAGCATCTCCATGACGACGGCCACAGCGTTGTGTGAGCCGTCGTCTATTTTCTTTCTGATGACGGCGGCCACTGTCTTGTGCGTGCCGCCGTCACCAGTACATCCGCCCCTCGCTCCTCCTACTGGCGTCTGGACGCATCTGTTATGCGAACAGACGCCAGCCACCAGTTCCCTCTCATGATGCCGGCGGCTGCGCAGTGCCGGCCGGCGTCAAACTACATACCCCATAACCCCTTGCGGCTGTGATGCCGGTCACGTGACCGCGCACTTTAGAATCTTTTTTCTTCTTTTAAATAACCACTGATCGTTTTTAAAGTCTAATTATATAACTTATAATGTCTATTTTAGCTTTACCTTAATACATACTATTGTTTATGTTTTACTAGTGTTATACTGTATGTAATTTGTTACTGCAATCTGATTGGCTGTCCAAATTTTGGCGCCAATTTTTGAGTCAATTGAGTATGCTATTTAAATGTTCTTCTGCCAGGTATCAGGTCCTTTACCCATATTGATAACGCCGATTGGCGAAACGCGTTTATGGTTTTTTATATTGTGTAATGTTACAATTAAAGTATATTTTATAATCTTTTATTGTATTACTTATCTTTTAATACACATATAATTATTATTACTACCTGGCATCATTCGCTGGACTCCAAGCAATCCTAGGTGGGGATTATTCCACCAGTGCGAAATATCAGGAGCAGTTGACCTGCTCCTGTCTTGTGAGTATCCATTTTTTTATTCTATTTCATATTGGAGTTTAATTTTACGCAGAGAACACTATTGGCTGTCTCTTTTTATTTGAGCATCTTTTAAACCACGGAAGGAGGAAACACGTGGAGGATAACCATCCTATATCCCATAAGCGGGGATCTAAACCGCTGTACGCCTTTTATACCAGAGCAGGTCCTAGCTCTTGGATATGTGAGTTTGCAATCAAGCCTTTATATTTTATTCCTTACCCATATAGATATACTGCACCATTGTGGTTTTGTATTTGTTTTTATATCTTACATAAGAGACGATCCACAAGAAAGACAGAAAGCAAGACAGAAAACAAGATTATTACCTTTGACTAAGCACTACGGACACTGCAAGATAAGACCTCTTCTACTTTATTTATTCATTTATCTATTTATTTATTTATTTCATCTGGACTTTTATATATTTATTTTTTAAGCGCAGCCCTTACTCTATATTTTTTACTGCTCAATTCACTGCCATTTTGACGTTAAATCACTTTTTCTGTTTATGCAGCCCTTGCCACACCTCCCCTGACTCTGATTGACACAGCCTGCATGAAAAAAAACAAAACTGGTTTCCCTTTCAATCAGATCTAATTTACCTTAAACAATTGTATCTCTTGCTCTGTAAATTTAACTTTAATCACATAGAGGAGGCTCTTGCAATCTCCAGCAAGCTATTAAAAGGACACTCCAGTGCCAGGAAAACAAACTGTTCCGCCGGTGGGGGAGACCTAATGCGCATGTGCGGCAATGTCGCGTGCGCGCATTAGACCTCTCCATAGGAAAGCATTGAAAATGCTTTCAATGCTTTCCTATGGGGAATTGAGCGACGCTGCAGGTCCTCACACAGCGTGAGGATGTCCAGCGACTCTCTAGCACAGAAAACCTGTGCTAGAAACCAGGAAGTACCCTCTAGTGGCTGTCTAGTAGACAGCCACTAGAGGAGGCGTTAACCCTGCAATGTAATTATTGCAGTTTATGAAAACTGCAATATTTAAAGCTGCAGGGTTAAGAGTAGTGGGAGTTGGCACCCAGGCCACTCCAATAGGCAGAAATGGTCTGGGTGCATGGAGTGTCCTTTAACATAGCAGGGGATAAGAAAATCTAAATTAAACAGAACTTGCAATAAAAGAAGCATAAACTTTAGATGACTCTTTACAGGAAGTGTTTAGGAAAGCTGTGCAAGTCACATGCAGGGAGGTGTGACTAGTGTTCATAAACAAAGTGATTTAACTCCTAAATGGTAGAGAATTGAGCAGTGAAACTGCAGGGACATGATCTATACACCAAAACTGTTTCATTAAGCTAAAGTGTTCCTTTAAGGGCTGGCTAACGGTAATTTCGTGCATATTTCATGTATGAATGGCAGGATTTACATCTAACTTCTGTTACTCTGCTGCAACCAGATCCTTTTCAGCAAGTATGAAAGGAGGCTTGGTCCCCAACAGCACCTGGTCTTCAATTGCAACACTAGCTTGGTGTACCATTAATTCAGTTTCAGTATAATAAATACAAATAGAAAATGTTGTTACACTGGAAAAATCTTGTTGACAGCAGTTGCTGGAAGCCTGGATAGGCTCATTGGAAAAGTCTGGGTGTAGTGTCTCAGGTTCCTTAACCATGCAAAGGTAATTATTGCAGTTTTTAATAAACTACAATAATAATAAACTTACCTTTGAGGGTCAACTCCACCTCTAGTGGTTGTCTACCAGACAGCCACTAGAGGAACTTCCGGGTTGTGTTGCCTAACTGGCGCTGCATGTCCTCACGCTATACATGAGGACTTAAAGTGCCATGTAAAATACTTTAGGAAAGCATTAAACAGGCTTTTCTTTAGGGGAAGTTCTAATGTGAACACTGCCATTGCCCTGCATGCGCTTTAGGACAACGGCGCTGGAATCAGGTAAGGTTTTAAAAAAATTTAAAAAAAGGCTGCACCACGAGCGGCTCGACGGAGGGTGGCACTATAGGGAAAAATAGTGCCAGAAAAATAACTTAATTTGCCTGGCACTATAGTTTCACTTTAAGACACAGTGAGTGGCTGCATTTATGAATAGAGATGTATTTACTGACTTTTATTGATTGAACTTCATTTCTGTTCTTTATTTATGAAACTGCTGTTGAATGCTATTTAGTTTATTATTAAAGTGAGCCAATATTGGCATTTTTTCTTACATTTTTAACAGTTTCTGTAACAAATATTTTTACATTATGCTTCATTAAATTATCACATGCAAGTTAAGTAATAAGCAAATTCTAATCGTTTAACTAAAACGAGAGATTCTTAAAAAATTTTGTACTGTACAATATATTTGTTTGCTCGTCTAGGTGGACCTCCTGAGAATGAGTCGCATTCTGCAAGTAAGGAAGCAGTAAAGAAAAAGTCAAGAAAGGAGAAACAAAGGTTCACAAGTCCGGTTCTCTGTGAAAATAATTACCCCAGTGACTCCTGCACCAGTGTGGAAGCCGTTGAAAACTTATCACCAAAATTATCATTAAGAAAACGAAAAGTTTCTGATAACAATGTCCAAAATAATGAGGCACATGCAGTGCCCAAAAAGAGGCCAAAATCCATACTTAAAGCCAATTCCAAAATAAAAGAATCAAAAGATATTCAAGAAAACCATAGTGAAATAGAAGATGTTCTCAGTGTCGGTGAGGAGTGTATAATTAACAGAAAGAAAAGATCTCATGTGTCAACATTACACAGATCAGTTATGACTGGAGAGCAAAACCAATCTGTTAAAAATATTAGGAAGTCATTGGCTGCATTTGGGGTTGCATATGGGAAAAGTCCACCTGCAAATAAGACTGTACAAAATGCACTTAATGAGAGTGACACAGAGTCTGCAAAGTGTCCACGTGAAGCCTTTCTTAACACTCCAACAAAAAATAGAAATTTGGTATCCTCCTTTAGAACCCCTGTGTCACATTCTGAACATATGTTGGACGACTCTCTTCACAAGTCTATATGTCAAGAATCCTTGTGTAATGAAAACCAGGATTCTCAAACAGAGAACAGTTCCACTGCAAAGTAAGTAGTTTAGGTGTATGATTGCCAGTTTTCACATTTGTTTTTACCTGCCATAGTTTTTAGTTATTAATTTATTTCCTATCCAATAATAATTGATGACAGTGTCTATGTTTGTGTTGGTTGTTCCACAAGTGATAGCATAAATGCATATATTTCAGTAGAAATTGTTAATTAGTTTTGGAACATAACTGTTAAGTGATTTTTTTGATCATGTGTATTTATACTGAAATCGATTTTATTCATCTTAGTGAGAGCCCTGCCATTAAACGATCTGTAGAATCCAAAAGTTCAAAGAAGAAGCAGATTAGTCCAGACCACTCAGACGATCCAGGTAACTTAAATTGAATGCATCTTACAGAGGCAATGTCGGACCATAACCAACTCATTGAGAGAAAGGAAGTCCACCAACATGGGTTCCAAAACTAATATCTGTATTATCAATGAAAAACACGACTGTCTTTTTTTATTTTATTTTATTTTTTTACCTGCAAATAGTTTGTCATTACTTGCTTTGTGGTATTTCTTTCCAGCTCACCATTGTATCTTAAAGGGACACCGTAGGCACTGTATATGCTTCATCTCATTAAACTGGTTATAGTGTCTGAAGTCCTCTGGTCCCATCATTTCTATCAGCATTAAACAGTTTTTAAAGTTTTAATGTTTTAATGCTAAACAAGAGTCCCCGGCAATCCATCCCCTCTGTGCTGCTTTGGCTTATAAGGAAGTATTAGCCTGAGCAGCTGTGATTGGCTGAGAGTGTCAGCTGAATGCTTTTAGCCTGTCAGAGTTCCAACTGATGGTATGAAAGGGTATGACAAGTGTGTAATCTCTGCCTTAGCCACACATACTGAAGGGGCCGGACTGTGGGTGGCCAGGGACTCTTATTTTGTGGCATACTGCACGAACATGGTGCAACACTGAATGGAGGGACAATGCCAGGGCACTCCAGGCACTATAACCAATTCAAAGAGATGAAATGCTTATAGTGACTACAGGGTCCCTTTAATGAAATAATGCAATAAAAGTATGTACTTGGCCACAGCACTCTGCTAGCAAGCCTTTTCTCCCCATTGCACATGTGCATTAAGTGCCACTCAGATGTTTCTTTGTAGGGAAACATTGCCTTCTGCTTTGAATGAGTGTTCAGTGCGCTGTAGAGAATGTTACAAAATTGCTGATTTTTGTTGAAACCAATACTTTCGTAAAATCAGTTGGAGGTAACTTT